TGCTATCTGATTAACTTAACATCCAACATCACGTTCCTTATAATCCTGATTTGGTTGTTTATATAAATATAATAAAAGGAAGTCAGTGTGATATAACATAAACAAATATGGAATGAAGCTGGTGACATATCTTATCTGAGAATTGCCTGATAGGAATAGAAATGTAAAGGATGTCAAAGAAATGGAGAGCTAATGAACTATCATTAATATCTGAGGATTAGTGTGGTCTGTACTGTGAGCCTGGGGCTAGGAAATAAATGCCAACATCATGTAAGGGTGGGGATGACAGTTGTTGCATAATCACAGACGAAAACATTACTCTAATAAGATGCCAGCATGTTGACATTCAAAATGATTCTTCCTTCTGGCATTCACTGTAATTTCTAATTTGGGAAACCGGCGTCAACCTAGGATACAAAATCATCTAAAAGAATTTCCATTTTAGCAGAACACCAATGCACACATAAACCTATGGGACAGAGGGACAGACAGGCACACAAAGAACAAGCTGACACATCAAAATGAAAAGACAAGACAGGAGAGGGGCTAGAAAGAGGCAAGCAGACAAAACACAACATGAACAAGCAGATAATACACACAAGTGGACAGGAGCACAAACAGGTCTAGGTAGAAGTCAGAGTGAGGCGCACACAAATACTAACGGTAATACAGACAGACAGATAGACAGGGGGGCAGGCATACAGGTCATGTTGTGGGTCAGAGAGACAGACAGATAGATAGATATGAGCATTTGTTTTGCTTTCTACATGACGCTGGCGAAGCAGTTCAGGGGCTCAGGCCTGTGTTTATCTCATCACGTTTGTGTCTACACTTATTTGTATGTGTGTATGCTCAAATACACACATCTTTAGAGACATTACAGTCTGCCCAGCTGCAGGTAAGATACCTTTGAATGTGATGCAGTAAGTAAGCTTATAACACAACACCATCACCAAGCATATAGCAGTTCTTCTCTTTTGGGATTAATGGCTTTTTATGCATGTTCCTTGTTCAATAAAGATATCTATTAATAAAATAAAGTGCACAACTTTTAAATAAATCTATAGTTGATAATCAATTACAATTGAAAGTAATTATAAATGCAAAAATAACAGGAAATAGAGAATTCCTGATTGTATCTGTTTTATATCATCTGACACTGTATTATTAGACTAAGAAGAAACAGTGACAGACATTTTTCCCTTTTTTTGGAAAATTTTATGGATCAAACGGTTGCGATGTTGTGCAGGATTACATATTTAAGAACAATGGTTACCAACTATACTGATTATGAGCTAAAGTGGTGAATCAGCATTCAAGGTCATAAGTAAATCGTCGCCCGCTCAACTGCTATCTGCTTGAGCTGTATTCCTATTACTGTTGCAATAAGCTTACTCTCAATCTCTCTAAAAGATCTCAACATACACAGAAATATACATTAAAAACCCACATTTCTTCAGCCCTTTTACACCGTCCTATTATTGCCACTTAACTACAAGTTAGTCACATAACACTCACACAGTGTCTATTCCTTTGAACGTTATTCAACACTTTACTGGTAAATAAGATTATGCTGATATAATATGCTGACAGTTGCTATAACATGGTGGTCATCGGCCAACCAAAAAAGTCTTGCCTGCCGTTGTGTCACGTTGCTTTTAAAACGAACATTATTCGTTTAACAGACTTAGTAAGCCTGTACACTCAGTTTATCTGATGGAGCTGATGCAAAATCTGGACTGGTACTTCCCGTATGCACCAGCAGGGACCCTCATACCAAATAATTAGGGGAAAAGGGAAAGGATCGGTTAAATGTCCATCAATGCCCTGCATTCAGATTTGTGGGTGAACACCATGTCCAGACAGGGATAGGGCACAAAAGAGGGCTAGGACATGATGTGCATGCAGTGCAATACCACACAAAGAGACACACACACACACAGTGGAGGCTGAATACAGAAAGCACACAAAACTAATTAGGAGCTGGCACATGAGTATGGTATGTGTACACATTTGTAAAACAGCGCTGAGAAGAGCACATGAGAAGATAAGCCTTTAATTAGTACCAGGAACAATACCAACGTTAATTAATTTAATTATTTCCTAATTAACACTCATAATGTTGAGAGTACAATTATGCAATGTGTTTCAATACTCTATTCAACATGTTTAATTGTTTGTATAAAGTCTTTTTGTGTCTTAGTTCTATTTGATCAATACACATTTTGCGCTGTGCATTCCTCATTGTGCTGAATAAGATGAATCCTCTTGCTGTCCTTTAACTGTTCTTGGCTACCTTTGCCCGCGTCTTGCTCAGCGGAGACTAAATAAACACGCAAATCTGTCTGTCAGAGGCAGATAAAGCTGCACGGGTTACACTTTTCTCTGTGTGTTGGTTGGCTGAAACCTGGAATGCTTTACTGCTTCTGCAATACATTCCTATCCAACTTTCTGTCCAATGGTTGCTATCAAGTGGCATTGTGACCCGTTGTTATTGTTGCCATGAATTGTTGAGTGAAAGTTGGGATTCCCTACATACTCTCCATGTTCATAACGTGGCTCCTACGCTATTTTGATTTAAACTTCAATTTGAGTTTATTTTATTTTATTATTTATTTATTTTAAACTTTTGATATCAAAATGTTTCCAAGATCACATGTCAGAGAGAGATGTACTGTAAAGCAAAAAAAAAGAGAGGTGGCGAAAGCAGAGAAAGGAAAAGAGCAAGAGAGTAAAGGAAATGGGAGGGAAAAATGGTCACAGAGGGTGAAGAAAAAGAGAATGGGGGAGAAGAGCAGAGGGGAGGAGAAGGGAGGAAAGGGCAAGACCAACATCTTGTCACCACCTGGGACCCAGCTAGCTGCCCGGGGATGTTGCCTTTACATAAGAACAGTGGACAAAGCTACAGCGAGAACAAAAAATTACATAGACCAACACACTGTTCTCGGCACGCAGGGGGGGGGGGGGCGAACCATCAAAACACATGGCCGCACAGAGAGACCTACACAGGCACACAGAAATGAAACTGAAACAGCAACAAACTGAAACACTAGTTGTTATTTCTGACTAAACACACAGACACAGGTCTGCAGAAAAGAACAATAGGCAGAGGTTCTCCACTTTAAAATATAATTCACTGTAGTTTGCCATATGTTGCCATATATTCATTGTCCTAAGTGTTTTCGTTTTTTAGCCTTTAAGGTTCTTTGTGTATTTTAAGATTCATTTGCAGTAGATAATTGTCTTTATTATTCTTTTTTAATGCTAAATATGTTCTTCAAATGTATTTTCTTAGATTGTTTATGTTCGCACAACCAGGGGCCTCATTTATAAAGGGATATACGCTCAAAAAATGGCGTACGCCAGTTTCTACGCAATGTTTGCGATTTATAAAATACTAACTTGACGGGAAAATGTGCTGTCCTCCACGCAAACTCTAACCCATGCGTACGCACTAAGCACACAAACGGGAGAGACGAGAAACTGCGACACCGTTGGCAGAAGGAAGAATGGAGAGAAATATATGGAAATAATACCATAAATAAAATGTTACCTCTCATTTATCAAATATGAAGAATTCATTTTCAAACATTGATTAAAGCCAATCTTTAAATGATTAAACAAACGCCTGTTTGAGACTCCTCAGTGCACACAAAAACATAACTTGGAGAAATAAATAAATACGGATATGCTATTTAAAACCACCTCGAATATGTTGTGTTAATGTTATGAAATGTTTTCTCATAAATGATGCGGTAAGCAGGAGGACAGAATTACGTCTAAACTGACGCCGTTTTGCATTTCTATAGGTTGTAGATACGAGCATGGTTTTATATACTATCACGTTTAATCGTGTTTTATGCCGTTTGCCAAGACTTGATAAGTAGCTCGTAAAACACAGGAGGTATGGACACTAAGAACACCATATATGGTAAATTGTACAGCTAATATAACACAACACATTAGTTGTATTTCCTTTAACTGGTGGATTATGGATATATAGTTGCTGATCGACAGCTGGAACACAAACCACCAAATACAACAAAATAATTCAGATCCAGTCGTCATGACTCCACTCCGGAGGGATTCCCCGATCATTTCTTACAGTTTCTCATCAAGGGGGTGTCTCCTGTCCCCGGTACAAACACACTGCCTGAGGAAGGTTATGTGTATTTTTTTTGTCATTAACTTTTTTCGGACCACTTATTTATTTATTTTGGTGACGATCCGACCTCCATGCTGCTACTCTGGTTCAAACTGCATCCACCAAACAATATGATTTATGTCGACCTCCCCACAATAACCAAAATCTGACACGGTGTGAGATGTCTTTTTTAGCTGTTCTATCGTCATTTCCTGCGATCTTCTTCATGCAGTCAGTCAAAATGAATGAATGAATGGGCGTTTCTTTGACTATGTATAGGCAAATATGGGCGTTACGAGTCGATTGTGATTTATAAAGGGAAACAGGCGTAGGAAGTGCCGTACGCACTTCCCTCGCCGGTACGCAATGTTTTGTGAATCGGAAAATGGCGGAAAATGTATGTACCTATTTTTGTGCTTTGTACTACGTAAGCAACCTTCCTACGTCAATCCTACGCAAGGCGTTATAAATGAGGCCCCAGACCCCAAAGCAAATTCCTTGTATGTGTAAACGTACCTGGCAATAAACTTGATTCTGATTCTAAGGTAATAAGAAGGCCAAGCAGCTGTGACAAAGCTGAAAATAACCCCATATGCAGTGAATCATAATAATTAAAACAATTATGATTATGCTCATTTCAGAGCAGACATTGTGTTTAGCAAAAAACGCACGTTTTTGAATCCTTTTTAAATCAAACCTCATGAAATATGACTCTAGGTTTCTCTTAGAGTGTGTGTCTCTTCCACTAAAGTATTGAGTTTTTGTAAGAAGTTGAGGATTACGAGTTTTAAAAGTAACATTTATACACAATAAATGTTTCCTAGCATAAACCTTTGACTTGCATAACGCCCAAGGTCATCATGACCTGGCAGTGGCTAGCATCACAAGTTTATAGCACATGAGAGATAAACTCATGAAACAGGGCCATCAGGGGCCCCAGAGGTGCACTTTTAAAAAGCACAGAGGACAAAAACAGAAACACATGTGCTCCTCCCAGCACAAAACAACACAAACAAGAAATTAATAAGAGATCAAAATGCAAAAACAGACAAGTCCAACCTATAAAAGCTTTACAAATCTATCTCAGTGATGGCTTCTGCTTTGACCAATTTGAAATGATCAAAATGGTAAAGTGCGCACCTCGCTGATGCATCCTTAAATTATGCGAGCTGGTGTATGAGTCATCATCTCGAAGGACAGTTTACACCAACATTAGGGCATCATGGGACTTTAGTATGTCGCAGCCATCTTAACAAAGACAATACTTTTGCGTGGTCTTACCTTTGTGATGAGAGTGCGGTACTCTTCAACCTGGTGGTCATTATTATGGCAGCCTGCCAGGAGCTGCCACACCTCCCCACGGAGCGCCTCAGGGATGCCGCTCCGCACCAAAGCTGGCAGCTGCCTGGGACGCACTGATAAGTTCAAATGCCTAATAGAGAAAAGAGGAGAGGAGAGAGGAACCATTGTTTTTCAAATGATACACATGTTATGTCACAGGCGGCAATGTTTGTGGGCACACCTGCCTATCAAATCTACCAAAAACAAAGTTGTCAATGACCCTTCATTTCGACTAAATGGACCATAATCATCTCCACGGATGTCCTGCTTGATTGTATCACCTAAAATGACATGTATAAGGATTTACAGGCATAGAGGTCTTTCAAAAGTTCTTCCCTACTTCCCACCAGGGGGATGTTATCAATCAAACACTCAAATGGCACTGTTTTAAAATGTGCTATTTTTGACAGAAACAATGTGATACTTTATGTGTCCCTAAAATCCTTTCTCAACTTTATTACCCCACATTTTTTCCTCTGACATTTCTACATTAGTTTTGCACTATTTTTAGCAGGAAGGGAAAACAATAGACAATAGAAGACAATAAGCGATTAGAGAATTACAGCAACAAAACACAGAGGCACAATTTGATGCCTTCCTTCCTTCATTCCTCATCTTCACATTTACAGTAAATGCCGAAGCTGTTGGCAAAACACTCCATCTCAGAGATTGATTTATACCGTGTGCAGATTCAAATGTACTCAAGTATCTGCCATGAAGAGGAGGCACAGTATCTAACTTACATCTCTCTCTCCTGACTTGAGTTGACAGAAATCCCCTGAATCCCTGATTATTCTTTCACTTTCCCCGACTTTCTTATTTTATCTCTCTATTTTCTGAGTTTGCTTGGTTTATTTGTTTCCGAGCGCCAGTTTATGCAATACGTGGCATTTTATCTTGGGACTAAGAAAGGGAACAAAAGTATACTGTGTACGTGGGTGTGCTTGCATGTGTGTGTGAGTGCATGTGACGTAAGTAATGCCAGGCCTGGTCCTTAGGGGCATAAGATTGTAAAGGGCTTTCTGTGATTTGCCTCTCTGTGCTCCCCGAGCGCTGCATCCCACAATGCCACAGCACACACTCTGGCTCACACAAACTAAATCACCAATCACTTGCACAAAGCCTGGTATTATGAAAGGATAGTCTTATGATTCCTATTTTTATGTAGGTATTATGTTTTGTCAGAGAACTGAGACAAATAGCCCCATTTCAACTTTGGGCTTCATCAAACAACATTGTAAACACCTTCATAATATGTATGAAAAATATATTATTATTAGGGCTGTCAGTCGATTCAAATATTTAATCGCGATTAATCGCATGATTGTCAATAGTTAATCGCGATTAATCGCACATTTTGTATCTGTTCTAAATGTACCTTAGAGGGATATTTTTCAAGTTTTTAATACTCTTATCAACATATGAGTGGACAAATATGCTTTATATGTTTGTTTATTATCATTTGAACAATGACAAATATTCTCATGAATATTAAACACAACAACCTCTGAACATTACAAATATTCGCCTCAATTCAACCTGGAACCTCTCTCATACAATAATACAATACAAAGTGTGTGTGTGTGTGTGTGTGTGTGTGTGTGTGTGTGTGTGTGTGTGTGTGTGTGTGTGTGTGTGTGTGTGTGTGTGTGTGTGTGTGTGTGTGTGTGTGTGCGTGCGTGCGTGCGTGCGTGCGTGCGTGGAGAGACACTGTGATGGATCGTTGGAGCTATGTGCAGCTCAAGGCATATATGCTCGAACGGGAGCTGCCTGGACGCTGCAATCATGTTGCGCGCACTATCCGTGCTGAGTGTGCTGACTTTTCGTACAATGTCCCACTGTCTGGCTACCTGCATAAAGTCAAGTGCTCGGCGCAGTTGTCGGCGAAATGTCGCTCCTCTGTTTTCATTGAAACAGCTCCTTATATCCGTTAGCGCAGCTAGCTAGCACCAGATGCTAACAACAACAACAACAACAACAACAACAACACGTAAGGTGTGCCTCGCTCGCTCCACACATACACACACCCTCCCGGTCCTCCCGATGGCCAGTCCGGGCCTGCCGGTGAGCGTGGAAGTGTGGTCTGCCACAAGCGGGCGGCAGGAGCGGGGCTGTCAGCATCAGCTTGTAGATGGTATTTTAAACTCGATGCGCTCTGAAACTACGGGGCGGCGAGGACAAAAAATACACATGCGTTAATCGCGTTAAAATAATTAGTGGCGTTAATTTTTTTTTGCATTAACGCGTTAACTTGACAGCCCTAATTATTATTAATAAGTATAATTACATTGAAGATACCATTGTTTCTGGCAGTTTTACTTCAGTTCAGCCCAAGTTTTTGACTATAAAATAAATGCAGAAATGGAAGAGGGTAGTCATCTTAATACGCTGCTAATCAAGGACTCCTTCGAGCTGCTCCTTCTATCACATAAGGCAAACCAAGCATACAAAAATAAATGTGTGTGTGTGTGTGTGTGTGTGCACATTTATTGCGAAATCAATAGAAGAGGAAGAACAACAATTTCAAGTGAACAAAGTCTTACCACTTTGTTAACAAGTCCCCCCAGGTCTCCAGTATTTTCTCTGCACACTCCTTGGAGACGTCACCTGAGCCGCTGAGTAACGGCTCATCATTATCTGGAAAACACAGGACGTACAGACAGGAAGAGACATCCATTATTCTCCTTTTAAATTCGTACATGTTTATATTTGTCCTTTTACTTCTCCAAATGTGATACAATTAACCAGAGTGGATGCATGTGACATTAAATAATTAAGGTATTAAGGACTTCATTCAGAGAGATTTGTTTAATCAGTCACACACAAGATGATTCATAAATGTACGAAATCCACTTATTTGAAGATTCAATTTGTATATCACAGGCTGGGTTTCTGATTGGAAGTTGTGTAATCATGTATTTTTAGTTTGATCTGAGCTGCAGCTATAATAACATTCATCTTGATAAACAGCTCTCTTTATTAACCATGTTTTATCTGCTTAACCACATGCATACCTAAGTGTGGGATTTTATATCCTATGGACATTTTAGGGTCTGCTGAAAAGGGTATTTATTACAAAAATAATTAGGGGACTATTTAGGGGACTATTTATACGCTGGTATTTCATTCAATAATAACAACAACAGGCGTGGAGCATTCAATGGACATGCCGTCCACATAGAGAGGTCAAACTGTACCAAGCAGCCAACCGATAAGAACGGATACAAAAAAGACCTCAATTATGTTCTCACAAAATACACACACACACACACACACACACACACACACACACACACACACACACACACACACACACACACACACACACACACACACACACACACACACACACACACACACACACACACACACACACACACACACACACACACACACACACACACACACACACACACACACACACACACACACACACACACACACACACACACACACACACACACACACACACACACACACACACACACACACACACACACACACACACACACACACACACACACACACACACACACACACACACACACACACACACACACACACACACACACACACACCAGTACTTTGTGAGAATACAGCACAAACAGTTCCCTAACACAGCATCTGATCTCCCACAGGATTTTAACTCAAGTCTAAATCTGGTTCAGGCCCATGGGATAGAGTTCTTATTTTTCTTATCAGTCATCAGGTCAGGTTATGTATGTTAATGGAAAGCGCAAAATAGAGGAAGCATAATTCAGCTGGGTTGTATGCTTCTACTTTATCATTGTGTTTCTTCCTGAGGTCAATGCTGATCGAGGGCAGCACAATGGCTCATCATTACCGGGTAAACAAGTTAATTGTTTGCATTATCTTGCCAGTTAAGTGTCTGCTTGAGGCTGTTTATGTTTCTGACATGATCGAGGGTTTTAAATCTTCAAACAATTTTCATATGGTTCTTATAGTCAGACTTCTTCTGTGGTTCCTGTGTTTGCAAATAATATTACCATATGGTTTGTAAAAGGAAAGTATACCTGTTGCTATATCTGGAATGCGTTTTTAAATAACCTATTTTCTATCCTTGCTTTTAGTGTGTCTTTAATGTAAAAAATAATCCCAGAAGAAGTGACTTGAGTAGGATGGTTTCCAATCACCTTCCTCTTCATCATCCTCAGGTGGAGAAGGGACCGTGGTACCTGTGGGCATGATGTCGGGACTCGCCGTGGTCTTCCGTCTCTCCCTTTCTGTCTCGCTCTCCAAACTCACCACCTCATAAAGTGTGTCAGAGGCAGGACTCTTACGCTCCTTACGCTCCATCTGAAAATAAATGCATTACAGAGACATCAGATAAACTCCAGAAGAAAGTGTAAAGAGATCCTCTTTTGATTAATGGTAAAATATACAGTGCTTTTTCATTCTTTTTTTCAAAATATAACACAATCTCAGCCCACGGTTTGCTTTGAAATACTTTAGGTCAGAGCAGATATTTGGTGTAAGTCACAGAGACGTTGGAATGGAAAATCGTGCCATGACCTGACATACCTGTCGTAGTTTAAGGTAGAAGGTCTCAGTGTAGTTACGCTTGCTGAAGGGCCAGAACAGCCGGTCATTTGGGGAGCAGACTCTGACCCTCGTCTCCAGCAGGAAGCGCACCGGCTCCTCCACCTCTGTGATCACCAGGTCCACTGCTGTCGTCATGTACATGAATTTGTCTGGTAAAAAAGAAATAGTGAAAACGTTTATCCCCAGTGGATGATTCTCTTCTTTTCACCATCAATAACAAATTCCTATTGAAACAAACCCTGCAACTGTGTGATTATTGGGAACACTGGACTTGTTGTGTATGAAGCTGAAATGGTGGTGCATGTTGTATGGCGCGAGGGACGAGTATGTAACAAAGTACTAAGTCATTTGGTTGTCCTTATTATTTTTTCAGATATATTTACACGTGACCTGTTCAAATATTGTAGCTTCTATATTTTACTATTAACAGGGATGGCAATTATTTCAGTTCACTGTCCATAAAGTGCTCTTTAACAGCTTGATTAAAGGATTTGTGTGAATTTTCGGGCTTAGAAATAAGTCAAATATCTGTGTAAAAACATGTTTCAATAAAAAAACAAATTAGCCAAGGAGCCAACAAACCATGAAAATAATAACTTATAAAGAATATTCAGTTTTATGTGCATTTTCTACATTTCTTTGGCTGTCACCTTTGGGCGTTTCCTCATTCACAGGCTGGAACTGAGGCGTGTTGGGGTTCCAACTTCCTGTGATGATGTAAGACTTCCCGTCGGAACTCTTTCCCATCGACTCCTGAAGGGGCACCAGTCGGAAGAAGTTAGCAAACACACGCAAACACAAAATGACACACATACACACACACATATACACGGTCACCCACCAGATCTAGCAGGTGCATGTCGCTGTTCTTCACATTTTTCCCAGGGCTGAGCAGGAGACCGAAACACCTGGAAGGGGCACAACACACACACAACAAAGAGAGAGAAAAAGATTGTTATGAATAGGATTACATAAGAAAAAAAGGAAAAAAACCAGAGCGAGAGCCAGACACAGAACAATAAATCCCTCTATAGAGTACGACCAGTTGATAAACATCACGTTACCGCAAATAGCTTCCTGCGCTGGTCCTGTAACGAAGACCAGAACATGGAGAATATTAAACACAGCCCTTCAATCCTCACCTTCTCTGGGCTCATCTAACAATAACAAACCACCGTGAAAATGGAAGTCTGCTAAAAAGGTGATGGAATGTTTACACTTCAGCAGATTGATCAAACCATGGAAAATGAGGAGCCTCTGGGACAGACTCAAATCAATCACAGCCTTAAAACTGTGCCGGAACACTTAAAACCTGACGCAGGCCGACAGACGGATGTAACAAATGTTCACCGGTGTGTGTTTATCAATTAAAGATGACTGATTGCTTTCTTGTGAATGTCTGGCCGTGTTTTAAGCTGACACATCTCAACTAACGCAAATACAGGAATCTCAGTTAGTCTGACAAACGTAAGATGGATTCTTTCCTTAGACATTTATCTTTCAGGAGAATGCCTAAGTGACATGTTTTAAGTCATTTGCTGCATTCACTTGGGTCATCTATATCAAATCTCTTCTGCATGCTTTTGCCGTTAAAACTCATATCTGTCGTGCTTGTTGTACTTCAGAACAGGTTTCCTGAAAGCAGTGCTGTCTTTATAACAGATGTTGACTTGGTTAATGAGAACAAAACTTTAAATCAGTTCCTCTAAGGATGCAAGAAAGTGATGTGTTTGAGCTTTATTTTACCTTTCAATGGCCAGTTCCTTATTGCAGGTTTGTTGGACATAAATGACAATTTTCTTGTCCATTCCTGCACGCAGCTTGAAGCTCTGCTTGTCCTTGTCCTTTGCTACAGCACTAAATATGTGAAAGAAGAAAAGAAAAGATCATTAATAGAAAAAAAATAGATAAATGTGACACAGTTATTCCTAAATGATGCAGCAGATACAGTGATGGTTTGAAATGACACAGTAAGGAAGATTCATTTAAGAGAGCTAATGAAATGAAAGTCATTTTAGGCCATATTGGATCACAGATGAATAGACAGGGAAATAATAATCCTGCAGTTCCTACTTTTGAAACGAGATTCAATAGAAGCAACGCATGTTTCTCCAGCTGGACAACTTTTACCAATTAAATGTAGCAATTATTAGTCAAACAGGGAAAATAAGACACTGACTCATATTTAGAGTAAACCCATGTTCCTAATAAACATGGGAATACGAGCCATTTCTAAACATACTCTGCTTTAAGAGCAGGAAGTAAACCAGATTTGAGACAGAAACAGTATTCAACATTCTTCCAAAACCTCTCAGGAATACACTCATGAGGAAACACTTAAGTACCTTAAGCACAAAGATTTTTCAGTGGAAAGATATCCATAAATCTAATTGAAATCTATTGTTAACATTTGGAACCTGGCAGTGCTCAGATCACAGAAATGTGCCTCTCTGAGGGTGGAGAGTTAATGTACAGCATGGTCAACTATTCAACTAAGTCATGTTTTTACACCAGGTGCAGATAAATTGGCTTTGCAACACCCTATTAAACAATATTCTTGAACAAAAAAAAATTCAACTTTTCCAGATATTATACTATATGCAGTTTCTATAGAGAATACTTTTTACACTTTACTTGTACAAAGAAATGCTTCCACCCAAAAAGAGTCAATGTGTGCTTGCATGTGAGAGCTGTTTGCTTGGAAGTCAGCACACTAAAAATAATCAACCTACAGCTAATGAGGAGGAAATATGTGCCGGTTAAATTTAACCACAGGCCTAATTTTGTTTGTTTTGTTTCCAACTAAGAGTATCTAGGGCTGTTTGTGAAAACACAGAAGTGACTCAGAACGGGAAACCAAAAAAACATAAGGTCATGGAAGATGGGCTGAATAGAGAAAACACACAAACTGTGTGAGCTCTTATCAATGTGTGAAAAGGATTGTGATTTGAATCTGTAAGGACAGAATGTCCGTCTACTGTGAGTCACAAAGGACTCCCTCCTTTTATTTGTCTTCTCTGTTCCTCTGTGTTCTTTTCATCTTTTAAGAGTCACTCTATTTCAAGTTGAATTTTTTCCCTAACATTTACACCCCTAAAAGGTTTGTGACTTATGTAACTGAAAACGGTTTGATTATGTTTCCACACCTATGTGCAACTCCATGTGTATTAAGACAATTTACACCACTTCGTAACCATCATAAATGATGATTCCATGCTCAGAACATCTACATAATTGACCGTATTGTCTCACCTGAAAGTACCCTTGCCATCATCCTCTCTGATTTCCTGGCTGACGGTGAAGGTAAACAAGTCGCTGTCAGGCGTGAGCGGCGCCGGCTGCTGAGAGGAAAGAACCGCCTTCTTCGCTGAGCGCCGAAACGCCGTGGCAAAACTGTACAATATCCTGCTCACCTGCAGGAGGAAGGTGAACACACACAAAAGGTTTAAGACAACATTAAGGCAGTATAATGAGGAGAGCTAATAGTACATATATTAGCAGTAATCAACAAAAGTGTTAGTTTAAATAAGCATCCCTGGCTTTAATCAACTGTAGTCAACAGCAGCAACTTGGTAGTAATTATTTATTTATTGACATTTACGTAAATGCTTTTCCACTCACATGATTATTGACTATTACTTTACAGACATGTGCGCGTGATTGCAAAAAGATCGTTTCCCAGAATAGGATCCCTGATCATCTCTAATTCTAGTAAATAGCAGAGTTTGGGGGGTTAGTGACTGAGAGATGATGTGGGGAAACTGCTGTTATCATGTTCCCAAGGCCAGAGTATAAAGCAGCTTCTAACATCTCCAACAAAAAAGCCTTTGTTTTGTTCCCGCTGCAGTGGGATGTTAAGGCATCCCAGGGGGTTGTTTATTGAAAAACAACAAGGGGCTAGATTCAGGAGATGGGGAATAAGTGGAGTTAGAGGGGGTCACCCTCTGTATGAAATTATGTTATTAAAAACACGATAATTGTTGTTTTGTATGGTTCTGATTAATGCTAGGGGGCGGCAGTGGCTCAGTCTGTAGGGACTTGGTCTTGGAACCGAAGGGTTGCCGGTTCACGTCCCGATCGGACCAAAAAAAGACGGAGTGAGCTGGTAGCTGGAGAGGTGCCAGTTCACCTCCAAGGCCACTGCCGAGGTGCCCTTGAGCAAGGCACCTAACCTCGAAACTGCTCCCTTGGCGCCGGGTACCTGGCAGCCTCTCTGCTCTGCCACCTCTCCTATCTGCATGTAGTTGTGTGTGTGTGCATGTATATCCTCTGTGTTTGTGCATGTATATCCTCCCCTGTGTCTGTAATGTGTGTAAACACAACAGAGTGGGGAAAGAAATTTCCCTGTAAGGGATTAATAAAGTGTATCTTCTTCTTCTTCTTCTTCTTCTTAGTTAAAGTGAACAGTTTCCGCCGTTTCTAAAAAAGTGCCCTTAAATTTGACAAATCTTGTTATATCGGGTGCTTCTTTTCTAACAAAGGGAAAACATTGGTTCCTCTTTGTAAAGTAGACACTTGACATTTGATTTAAATTAGTGAGTGAAATAAATCTATTCGAGCCCTACAGATCAGATATAGATTTCTGCACGGGAGCAGCACATTTATAGGCAACAAATGGAAGTCAGCGGGGATCCTCATCACCACCACCAGCAGAAAACTGTGAATTCTTAGAAACTGGCTTTGGGGTCTGTCTAGGAGGTCTGGCCCAAAGGAAGCAGAGTAAGAATGAGGAGGTTTGCTTTATGTACGAACAGTTCAGCTCCAAAACCCACAAATCTGCTTAGGAAAGGATATTTCTCCATACATGTTAAGAATTCTCAAAATACATGATGAAAGAAGGACATTATTTGTCTGAGGTATCTCATTTCTCTTTCCAAAATTGTCATAATTTTTGAAATTAGGGGGAAAAAGTCATCAGATGCTCTTTACAATTTCATTAAGTAATGGGGTCAATTGCTTAAAGCAAAAATGAGACAGCTGGGTAAACAAGGCCATAAATAGTTTTAGTACAGCTGTGATGTTCTGCCAGAAGGTCAGCTCAGTACAGATCGGTGATGAAATTATTGAATAAAAACAGCGCTTTGCAAAGTCTTACAAGTTTTTTAACAATGGCTTTGAAGCTAAATTGAGACAAATGACTAGAGCATCCTTTTTTCTGAAGAAGCAGGAAACGGGAAAAGCAATTTAATAGTTCGAATGAAAGTGCCCCTTCCAAAGAAAACGGTTAAACATTCTGCATTTGATGTGCGGCTGGGGGTTTGGAAGGAAGAGGAGGGCGTGAGGAAGAGGAAGAGATGGGAGAGAGAGAGACGAAGACAGAGATGCCCGGTTTCCAAGTAACGAAGTGAATCACAAGGGGATTAGAAGAGTGTGGGTTTGTGTGTGTGTATATGCATTAGTGTTTTAGTGTGAGCATGTGTGTTACGGGTGGGTGTCTGGATGATGTGGGGCTGATAAAGTAGTCTGGGGGCTCTTAGCGACATTGAAGGAGAGTGCTTCCATGAGTGAGAAATCAGGTCACTGAACACTGAAGCATAACTTTAACCCAGTTTCAAGACTCGACTCACTATCCCCTTCCTTTATATCTCTAGTGAGCCTACTGTTTATAAGCAATGGCTCATCTTCTCCCATTTAAGTTAGCTGGAGGGATTGTGTGTACTTTGGTGTTTGTGTGTGGCGGTACATGGGCATTGCAGCGCAGCAGTGCAGTGCATGACATAATCCCTCAGGGAGCACTGACGAAGCTCCCAGAATGCCGCTGAACCCCGGGGAACAGGCTGGAGGGAGATCAACATTTAACCACAAGGTCAGGCAGAATCCTGCTGACAATATGAGTGTGTACTCATGTAAATGTGCATGTGTGGTGGAGACAGAAACTGTGTGAAAAAAAAAGTGGCGTATGAGATGAGGGGCAGTGCATTTATAAGAGGAGCGTTTGCACCCCCTTTGGTTCAATATTGGTATAGCAGTAACATTGGTTAATAAATTGTGGTTTAGTGATAAAGGTTTGTTCAGGTTTTGCTATCTGTTGTCGCCCCAGATGTTCATAAGTTCCCTTACTTTCACTTGTAATGGAAGTGATGTAGGCCACTGTCGTCATTTTGAGCAAAAATGCATTCCGAAGTTTCGCTAAAGTTTTGTTGACTTTTGAAATTGTCAACCTATCCATTAAATGTGTCGTCAGTAACCATAGTTAAACTAAAATGACAAATATCAATTCATTAATGACTGAATACTCACCGCTTCATGGATTTGGCAGCGGAACACGTGGATCCTGAAGATCTCGGCGTTGAAGTGGCTCTCAGTGAAGGCAAAGCAGTCGCTCTCTGGTGTGCCATCATGGCCGCGCACACAGAACAGAATCTTGTATATCGGGTAGTTGGCGATCTCTGTACTGGTGTTGGGGTCCAGCAACCTGTTAGAAAATCAATACAAAATATATCTGTTTGATGCCTTAATAGAAGCTGTTGGTTTACTTAGGTGTCATGATTCCCAAAATCCAGGATTCTATTTAAGTTTTGATTTCAAGCCCAGGATTTGTTCGCATTTCTTCAGATTTGTTTTCTCCAGAGACAAAGAGGAAACAACATTTGGAGAATTACCTATACTATTTTTGATTTTGCTTTGAAATGTAAAGCTCATTTGAATCCTTTTTTTGGCTTAGAATCAATATCATGACACCTCTGATAATGTGGATATGACAACCAATCAAACATTTAATACGCAATAAGATATGCATATTGTATGTACACATGTGTATGTTACAGCCCACTGTAGAACTGAATCCAATAATCTGTACGTTCTCCCTACCTGACAGTGCCTTCAGACACGCCTGGCACAGACAGTGTGACGTCCAGGGGGAGTTGGCACTGCCCTCTGAGGATACTCATCATACGGAGGGCCTCCAACTCACTGCGGGGGGCGTTGACCGAGGCACAGCCCAGATATGTCAGCTGGCTGAACACAACGCTGTCTTCATCTGGGATGGGACTGCTAGGACTGCCCTCTGATGAGGATTCATCTGCTGCAGAGGGGCAGGGTGTAGGGAGGGGTGGAAAAAGGTGAAAGGATAGAAAGAAATCTGATTACTTTATGAATCCCATTATGATTTCATGGCATACATCAATATTATTTTCTGCTGAGAAAGGCATAGTTGCCTTGTGCAAAGTACAAATCAGGTGAATTAGATAGTGAATGTGTAGAGGGGAGATAGGTGTGATAAACATTCATATTTATCACTGAAATTCAGGCAACAACTGAAAGAAGGAGACAATAAGATGACAGAAATGGCAAAAAAACGTGTCTGATAATATAAAAAGAGGCAATGATAGAAGTTGACTGACTTCAAGTATTCTGTATGATTTAGAATCCTGTGATATTCCTCTGAAAGGCTTAGAAACCCATCTATAAAGCTGAAGATAAGAGCCATTGTGTGAGCTCTTTGTCAGTCGCAAGTAAGTAGGATAAGAAAAGTCCCATCATGCCTCACCTCGGTACGACCTCTCGTTCAACTCGCTCTCCTGTGCCGTCTGAACAGGAAGCACCATCTCCAGCTTGGGTGGGGGAGCGCTCAGAGGGTCAGAGCCCGGTGCTACGGGTGACGCTGTCGTGGCAACAGAGCCACGGTCGCCCTCTCCTCCGAGGGTCTCCATTCCTGCTTCTGACCTGAGTCCAGTGTCGGCTACCGAGGGGTCCATGAGGACATCCTCTAATTCTCTCTGGAGCTGCTGCTCACTCCCATTCCCCACAATCTGACACACACACACACACACACACACGGAGGGAAAGAAAACAGACACAGATAGAAACAGACATGAACAAAACCAAAAAGGCACAAGGCAAAGGAAGATAGCATAAAAAGCAGCTTTTTTTTTTTAAAGAAACACAACAATCAAACACCATCACATCAATGTTGTTTAAAAACGAAAATCAAGGTAATCATCATATCATTTTGAATTTAAGATAATCCTTCTGCCTATATCAAATTGTATTTATTATTTTCTTAAACAGTTTGTATAATTGTGCAGTAGCTATGCTGATTTTGTTATTCATTTCAAGTTATTGCGGTGTGTTCAAGGGGGAAAGATGTCTTGTTTTGTATTGGTGGTATTCTTTACAATTAGTCAAATATTAGTGATTAGTAGTGAGTTGTAGTTTGACTTGTGAAAAACCTGACATCAGATGAGCCATGCCAACACTTATTGTCTGAGCTTATGCCAAAGTTAACAAACAGAAATCAGAGAGCAAGCTAAAGGTGGGACAAACCATGAGGTGCCACAGAAGGAGGCAAGGCCCCATCTCCCTGCCTGATGGTATTGGGTAAGAAATGGAGAGCAGACTGCAGCTGCAGACATTGATTATGTAATTATCTAATTTACCAGCCTTTGTGGTATATGTCATTATTGCACGGTTGAATATTAAAGTCAAATGTTCCAACTATACTTTGTGAAGACAGCCATAAATCTGTGCCTCTGGGGTTTATGGTTATATATCCAATGCTGTTAGACTCAAGCAATTATCGAGGGATGAGATGAGTACTGCCGTGTCTATATTAATAGTCCTAGCACCATGTAATAAAACAAACGATTATCATTATCAAAAACTGATAAAGCAGCATCAAATGTAGGTTCACACGTCTAACAAAACCTTGTCATTGCCTTGGGATTCATAGGTTGTGCTTAAAGTCTAGGAAATATCAGATAACACTACAGTCCTATATGTGATAAAGTCTAAAGCTACCATCACCGAGACCCTGAAAAAGCTTGCTAGGGCCATCACTCAAAATACACAAATAATCACAGACAGAATCACATCACAGAAAGAGAGGGAATAAGATAGACACGAGCAAGAGAGAGTCACAGAGAGAAGAGGAGGGAAGGAAAGATAGCGAGAGAAGAGACTGACCTTAAAGCTGACCCCTTCCTCAGAAATCACCTGCATAACAAACAACAAGTTTAGACACACTGACTCCTCTCTGACTGGATGGGAAGACTGGGAGGGAAATGTGCACAAGAGTGTGTTGGCGAGAACCAATACATGATATCTGGATGACTGCGTGTGAGAGAATGGAGTGATTTCACCACTGCATGTTGAGAACAGGGGGAAGTGGGGGGAAACCCCACTAGGCTGTACAAAAAGTGATACCTCAATATACCTCAGAATACTTGTGATCTGTTAACAGACTATTTTCTATTTGTCTCATCAATATGCAAAATCACCTTGAAGCACAGCAAAAAAAGAGACAGGAAAAATGTGAAAGCTTCCTATCAACTGAATAAGCAACATTTATGCTCCGCTGGCTGGCGCCATCTTCTGGTAACTTTACCACATAACGACGACAATTCCCTCCTTAACTACAACCAGGCACAGTACAGTAAATATATCAATTCATAGACACAGTATGAACACAACAACACAATGCTATAAAAACAAGTGTGGAGAAAAGGAGAGGAGAGGAGAGGAGAGGAGAGGAGAGGAGAGGAGAGGAGAGGAGAGGAGAGTAACTAGAAACCCTTTAGGGATGTTGGCTTGTAGCTACATTTCTTGCCTCAGAAAGAGAGACACACCCTGGTTACAAAACATTATTTTCCCTGACAATGAGTTCAAAGCACTCGCTGCTGCATCGCCACACTGTTGTAAACTAATATCTGCAGAGTGAGCACTAACTGAAGCGCTGAAGTGAATTTCAGAGGGCATACTGTATGTCACACATACTGCGGTACCATAGCACATAACAGAAACAGCTGACAAAAGATAAATATGCTACTTTGCTGACACTGAATGAAAAACTGGTAAAAGAATCATCTAATTTGTTCTTCATTTTCAGCTCAAGCTAAAAATTGTTTTCTTTAGTTGTTTGATTTGCAAAGAAGGCACCTTTCTCTACCACCACCCAACAACATTTCATTAAACAGACCATTTACAGGGGAAGAACCCTTAAACATGTTTTTATCTGAACTTTGACAGGTTTGAAAGACAAGAAAGTTCTTCACTCAAATCAAAGCCTGTGACAAATGCTCTCAATTTCTGGAGATTTGTAAAGAGCTTTCTGACTATAACAAGCTAATAAAAACCACATGTAAAACACACACACACACACACACACACATCTAAGATCGAACTATGAGAAGAAGGTAGAGTGAGAAGAATGGGTAGAAAGCAAAACAAAGAATGGTTAGCCTTATGGTTAGAGTGTGAGACTTTAAAAAGATGGACAAGAGTTGTGATGAACATGTTAACAATGGAATATGTACGGACTGCAAACCCCCCACCCCCGACCTACAGAAGTCATACAGATGACATTAGTTAAAGAGGAAACTAATATGGAGAGGTTTCGGTTAATCATACTGTGGGTCACTCCTAATCAGTTTTGACAACTAGTAGTACTTTGAACATATTGCTTTACAGCAGGGGTGTCAAACTAAATTTCAACGCGGGCCACATCAGCATTATGGTTGCACTCAAAGGGCCGGTTGTAACTTTAAGACTATATAAATATACATATATAAATATATAATATATATAAAATAATGTATTATATTACATTATTGCCTCTGCATTGGATTATTATCGGATAGGGTAATAACTACATAATGAACTACGTCTGAAAGCAGAAGTCTAGGGCAAGTAATTGCAAGTACTGTAGGGCTGTGCAATTAATCGTATTTTAATCGCAATTACGATTTTGGCCTGCCACAATTACGAAAACAACATAATCGAATAAAACAATTATTTTGCTTTGCTAGGTTGTGACAGTGCACTGCAACATATTTGATCTCATTTATTTTGGTCTAATTTATTTGTATTTATATATGATTAGTAGCTTTTGGAAGTGCGCTCCAAAATATTTGTTGATCTTGTTTATTGGTATTTATTATTTTGATATTATTTATTTAAAGTTTTTCAGTTGAATTATACGTTCAGGGTAATCAACAGTTATAAGATACTGTTCAAATTATTATTTGTATTTGTTTTAAAGTTCAATAAATTGATGTTTTCAAAGTCAATGAATAATCGTATTTAATAATCGTGATATCAATTATTGACCAAAATAATCGTGATTATGATTTTTGCCATAATCGCATAGCCCTAATTGCAAGTCTCTTCAGTGTGCATGTCACAAAACGAGATGCATTGTGGGACATGTAGTTTATGGGCAACCTGCTTCTGTAAAGCGGCATGTAACCGTATAATAAACGTATTATATTCTTTGCAAGCTCTTGCGGGCCGCATAAAATGGGGGCCGGATTTGGCCCACGGGCCTTGAGTTTGACACCCCTGCTTTACAGTCTTAGTCATTTTTCCTATGAAGTCAAGACCTGGTTTTGACTATAATCAGTTGTTACCATGAAATCAGAATAAGAAGCAGCTTAGGAAATGCTTAATGCCCTTGAGATTGTCATCAAAGTACATTTAATTAAATTGTATGTCCAGCGTTTTTACTCTGACCAGCTGTGACGTCTCCCTTCTCTCCTTCGTACTTCCGTCCATACCTACACCCAACCATCCTTACCTTCAGTCCTGTCTTTTCGTCATCACTACCATTATTAGTGGAGGAGGGTGTCTCGTCCCCCAGCCGGGACACAAGGACAAAGTCCTCACTGTTGAGGGTGGACACTGAGTCCGAGGACACGCTAATCTTCCCCACCGAGCCCTTGTCATCCATGGCTGCCGCTGTTAAACTCAGCCACGCTGCTCATGAATGGAAGACGGGAGGAGAAAGCGGTGGGAGATGATGAGCAAAATCACCTGGGAAAAGGAAAACAAAAAGAAAGAAAAGAAGCAGAAAACAGTCATGATGAGATGAAATCCATGAAAGGCATCTATTGAAGCAGCTGTAAACCACTTAGAAGCTAGCCCTGTCGTCATAGAGTAAAACAGGAAAGATCAGAGGGAAATCTGTGGCTCACGTGATGCAAATGTTACTCTCGGAAGAATAAAGAAGAGGTATTTGCAAAATAGCTTGATGCAATGCGAAGCTATGGTGATGTCATTTTGAAAAAATAAACATATGCATATGAAAGGGAGGAATAGGGATCAAACCAGCCTTCCACAACCTTCAAATTATTCCATGTCAATATTGCCCTGATTAAAATTCAATTGTGGTCCCCCACCGCTTAATAAGATATGTGAACCATCCGTATATTACCAAACACAAAGGAATAATGCACTTAGTGTGATAAATGCACTGTCTGTTTTCCCGGCCTCATGCCACAACCACAAATAACCTACAGTAAATCCTGGGAGAAACACGGCCCATCATCCGCTCATCTGAAATAAGTATTGTTTTCCAAAATGCTATCTTTATCTGCACAGCTGATGACAGGATGAAAGGATTTTTTTTTAAAACTGATATAGGAAGGCAAGAAAAAGGAATAAAGGAGAACTGATTATTCACCTTTGACCTGTATTGGCAAATTCCCAAAACGTTTTTTAGTCTCTACTGGTGAGTTTCAGATGATTATAGGAGGTTAAAATAATGTACAAATTAGTTTAACAAGTTATATGAGGTACAGCTGTATTGTTACAGTCATGGCATGAGGTAAATCCTGAAAAAGGAAGGTGCCAGTTGAGTGTAACACAGGAAGAAAGGTGCAACAGAAGGTTCTGGCAGAGGTTCAACAACAGACCATAACGGGCCGTCTCCACAGCAGCGTTAAAAAATCTTGAAACGCTTCTGCCCATTCACTTTGAATGGGGTGACGTCACTTTCCCTCACTTTTCGCCGAAATGCATTGTGGGCAGGCGAGCGGAGATTCTCAGGATTTTCAAGATTCAAAGTTGAACAATGTTCAACTTTTGAAGCTGAGGTGGAAGCGGCAGCCAATCAATCCGGGCAGCGTATCCCGTGTACGCAAATCTGGCAGTTCAAGTTCTAGCCAATCAAACGGCGTGTATGCTGGGAGAGACATACCGCAGGTCATTTCCTCATATTCCAAAAAATGGAGGAGAAATTAGCGGTAGCGAATCAATCACCCGGTGCTTTATGACCAGACCTACCGGGATATAAACCGGAGGAGCCAGGCATGGAGGGAGGTGGCAGAGACAGTGGTATGTTTTCGCCTGTTTTGGGGAGTTTATATCCAGTTTACTTCGGGCTTTTTGGCTTCGTATGTCGCGGGCGGGAGATTCATGTGATTGGTTGATCGCAAAAAAATCCCCAAGCCTCAGATACGCCCACCTCCAAGATTTTTTTAACGCTGCTGTGGAGACGGTCCGTTACAGTCTATTTCTGGCCTTCCCCTCTATCCTCCCTTTTATTCTCCCTTATATCTCCCCCGTTCTCTCTTTATTTCCTTCTTCTTGCCCTCCTTATCTATCCCGGTGCAATCTTGTATTTTCTCACTCCCTCTCAAATACACGCTGCCCTTGCACTCCTTATTCCTCCTCTCTGCTCTCCTGACGAATCCTCGCCCCTTCCTATTGAAAGCAGGCCCAACAATGGACAAATGAATAGGAAAAAACATCTACAGCAGAAAGGTCAAAGCAGTTAATAATGTGTGTTACTTATGATAACATTGTTATACGGATCCATAATACACCTCAATAAAAAGCCATCTCTGTGGGACTAGAATGTTTTACAACTGATATGGGTGTTGTTATGAGGTTACCAGACACAAAGTGAGCAACATACACTGACAGCTAACGGCTTGTTTTCTTTATCTTCTCAAAGCAAATGGAGGAAATGAGCGACTGGCAGACATCCAGAAGTCCTGGGTGTTCACTGGTGTTTGAGTTTGGAGACAGTCACAACATAGGATGAGTGACCTTTGGCCTGACACCTCTGTTTGACAATACATATCTAGATTCTAATGCAACACCACTCAACCGGACAATTATAAGTCATATATATAAGGCCGGTGTCAACCTTGTGATTTGGTTAACTTGGCCAAGACCAAGGAAACAATGGTGTAGTTGTTGTGTATTTGGTGTTTGACACTGAATACATTATCAAAGAAAAGTAATAAGGAAGTAATATATTGAATGACAGGTAACTCACTCACGCTTATGGGAAATTCAAAGATCAGAAAGTCTGAGCCATATGTGCTTATTTAATTTAATTTAATCTAGTATGATTAGAAACTAATGAAAAAATAACTATAGCATCCATTTCTTTAAACATAATTGCTACAAAAAAGATTGGGCACAAGACGGCAAGTTTTCCTTTGCTTTTCACTTCCTAATTTGATCAGATAATCATTGTTCTAACATGTATGTTAACTAACCATCCTGCCTACTGTACGTATACATACATCTTGTACAGAACAGGCATCCTCTTCGTAGGATAAAACCTTTTATTATATCACTAACCAATCACCTCAAAGCCCATGATAAAACCTCTACTCAGGAATGTGTTGGTGTGTATGAACTGTGATTGGTTGACAACACCTCAGTGCCTGGTGGGATTGTCAGTCTATATCTGTCACAAACTACACATTTCTTCATTAAAATAAAAACTGTACTCACATCGTACTCAGAAGCAATGCGAGAGAGACATTTGTAACACTCCTCATCCTCTTTCTGATCTTCTCAGGCTTTTAATCTTGAAGACACATTCCAGATGTTAACTCTACTTTTGGCTCAGCAGGCAGCTTCCTATTTTTAGCACACTTGTCCTCCAAGTCATTAGTCTAGTTCTATTTGCAAAAAATCTGTGTTTTTGGACATTTTGCAGTTCTGTCACAGAGGATGTTCCTGATAATGCTTATATTATCACAATCCTATTCAGTTAGTTTCACAGCAAACAACAGATAGATATACAAAAATAACTGCATGATTGAATATTTAATGGAAACAAACTTGTCAACAAAATATTGAACTAGAGATGGTGATAGGATCAAACCTAAGAGCAACCCCTATTAGGGCCAGGGTCGCAAAATGGGGGGTCTAATGGCCCCTTTTCAACTTCATAATTCATCTGCCCTTGCACAAACACCAAGCTTTGAAAAATCTGTTCATCTGTTCAGAATACGTTCATTTCCTAAAGCCTTTTAATCAAATATCATTAGCAAGAAAAAAAACATGTATTTGTCCATAAATTACTTTGCTCAATTAAAAAAGTTACACCAGAAACCTAACCTAGAGTAGATGTGTAACCCCAGAGTCAATCACTTTACAGGAGAGCAATGTAATGACGCTGAGAGTACTGGTTCACACTCACACACACACACACACACACGCACGCAGCTGTATAATAAGCAGAAATAAGCAGCGGCCCGCAGGCGCACACAAACATCATGTGTCTGCCTGGCTGCTGACTCCCAGAGGCTCATAATGGTTGCCTTGTCACTCTGCTTCCTCCCGAGCCTCAGTAACAGCCCTCTGCTGCCAAGCCACTCTGTTCCTCTTCCACCTTTTCAGAGCCTTGGATTATTTCCAGACCGACACACAATCCCATGCCTATCATGCTATTGATTGTTACAAAATTAGCAACAGCATTTCCTAACAAAATGCCGTAGGGGGTCCCTATTGTGCAGGAGTATAAAAGACCATAGCAAAAGACTGTTTAGGAATCGTCTCTCTCTATTTTCTCTCCAGTTTCAACCTTTCTTTTACCTACTCTTCATGTCTTAAATGGGCTTTGTGGATCTTGTGGTATTTTTGCATTCACATAGCTTTGCAAATCTTATCCCCCTTTCTGGACAATTTGGACTTTTATTTCCCATGTAAGGGCGCAAGTAAGAGCCAAGGTGAAAAGAGAGGAGAAGCAAGAAGTCGTTTCCTCTGTTGGAAGACACTGTTGTGTGTATGTGTGTCACCATGGCAACAAGACCCTCTCCATCTACTGTACAGTGCCGGTTCATTAGTGCGAACCACCTCTGGCAAAGAAAGTAATATGTGTCGTGTGAATTACGTTACGAGTTAGGAGACATTCATTACACTTTGAACGTCAGTCCATTTTACATTTTAGCATTATTTTAATTAAAACATTAATTATTTTAATTATAATTTTTTTCTTTCAGTTTCCATGTTGCTCACAGGTAAGAGATATTTAAAGGTAAATATTTAAAGCCCAGGGATGGTCACATGTTTCAATATATAGAGCCTAAAATAATTTACTATAAAATATTTCCCAATATTCCAGTGATCTGAGGCAATGCTTTCTGTCTGTTTTCGATTACCAATTCATTACATCTATTATTTACTATTTGATCCATCGACTAATTGTTTCTGGTCTACAGTATATCTAATTGTATTTTTTTCTGGATTGCAAACCAAGTTGTGTGGTGTTGTAGTGCTGAGTTTCACTAACTCGACAGTTCAATTTCAACTAGTCCCAAAAGCAAAGAGACCTCTCTAAGCAGTGTGTTGCAGTTTAACCAGGTGCAAAGTATTTGAATCTGTTACAATCATCTCTTATGTCAGTCCATGTGAAAAAGTGTCTTTTTTCCTCTCCACTGTGCAGCTGAACAGGCTGTTCTGGGCTGCCAGCTGGGCCCTGTGTGCACCTCACAAGGGAGAGGAAGACACAGGCAGAGAGCATTCAGGCTCCGTCCATTTTCAACTTGCCTCACAGCATTGATTTCAGCCAGGCAGAGATAGCAGGGAGAGAGGGGGAGGGAAAAGGAGAAAGAGGGACAGAAACGGCTGATTTACACAAAGGGAGTCACAAGGTAGGGTACAAAAGAGAGGGGAATGAAAAGGAGTGGAAGAGGAGCTCTGAATGAAATGTATAAATCAAGGAAACACACACACACACAATCCATCATTTTCATCTTATTTGAACAGTGTAAACATCTAATAATAATAATAAGAAGATTCAACGTATTGTCATTACGTAGTACAGGTACTATGTAACAAAACGGTTTATCTGCATTTGACCCATCCTAGTGTTAGGAGCAGCGGGCTGCCATTATGTACGGCGCCCGGGGAGCAATGTAGGGAACGGTGCCTTGCTCAGGGACACCTCGGTAGCACTTGGTCTTTCCGGGACTTGAACTGGCGACCTTCCAGTTGCCAAGCCAAGTCCCTATGGACTTCACCAAGCTCCTCAATTCCAGGTCTACAGCAGAGCACAGACTCCAAATTGGCTTCCCAGGAAGTAATCTTCATGGTTTATACTTAACAAAAAACATTGAGAAAAGGTTTTTAAGGAAAACTTGACACCTGCGTGTTTTAGTGAGTTGGTTTCAAAGACAAACAGTTGTTAAAGTTGTTAGGCCTTTTGAAATCAGAACTGAAATGAGAGTCACTGATACCTGGTTCACATATGTGGTTGAAAAAGGGAAGAGTGGATTTATTGTAGTTGTTTTATACACTCTGGGAACTAAAACTAAGATAGCTAAGTACCACCAAAAATTCCAGATATGACCATAGTAATACAATTGCTATTCAACATGAATGTAGTTGAGTCATTTGGGCAAACAACTACTGTAAATGTTATGGTTAACATATATAGAAGTATATTTTCTTTTAAAAGGAACAGCAATTGCCCAACAGCCATGGGAGTCATGATTTTCCAATATACAAATAACTCAATTTAAACATATTCTTTCCCTGACCTACTTGTGACTTCTTCAATATTACAATAGACCTTTAAGTCAAATCAAGGGACAGGCTGTGAGTCTAAGAAGTAGCAATGTTATTGTGAAAGGAAGTGAAAACCCTGAGTGAGAATACATGTGTGGGTGTTTAGTCTGTATACACACACATCTATGAATAAACTGCCTCACTACAGTCAGTGGGTCATGAAGGATCTAAGATAGGACTGATTTATCGCTGATGTGTTCAATCGTAAAAACTCAACACCAACACAAAGCTAATATTTATTTCCTACCAATCAAAAAATGAATTGGTAAAATAATGAATAAGCAGTCAGTGATTCATAACACTGATTATAGTTGTCGCCCTCCAGGGTGGATGACTGGAGGTCTGAATAATTAAAAGGAAATGTATTCACTTTAATTACAGGCTTTATTAACTAAGTGTCTCAGGGTATGTCATTAAAGATCATTAAAGCAAACATTGACTTTTCTAAACTGAATTATTATCAGGGTGTTTTTTTAAGACAATTCACCGTACAACACACTGAGTTGATTCTACATGCAACACTTTGGTCTAAGTAGGTCATTCACACTGGGTGACCTACACATAACTGATGCTTTATTGAATTAACAATAAAGCAACTCCATAACAAATCACAGAAATGTATAGAACGACTCCCTTAACATGGCCCAAAATACTTGATCTACTCCGCAGCACCAGATACTTTTACATGTATTAAATTGACAGATAATTATTTCGAAAAAAATCAGTCTGTAAACACTTCTGTCAACCCTAATCTCCTCTCTTTAGAAACACAAATCCACAACAGTTGTATGAAGCCCCCCGCCATTTAATCTCCAGCCGCTCCCCAAATGACAGGTGCATCCGAGGGGCGTTGTTGGGACTTCAGAGCATTCAGGACTCAGTACAAACTCAATTACAGAAAGAGCTATAAACAGAGGGATACAAGGGGACACACAGTGCTTCAGGCATTGGATGTACTCTATTAGCTTTTAAAAAGGAAGATATATTTATTATCTTATTATGGCTGACTTCAGAGGGGAAGCTGACATGCTGAAATTAAATGACAAGCTACATTCTTGGGTCTTTTCAATTGATTTATAGAATTGCTTTCCATAATAACTTTAATCATATCAATAACAATGTATGCTCTTTTTTCCTCAGACGAAAATAACTCATATTAGAGATTTGCATGTTTCCATATTGGATTTTGCCCATATGTGATGGAAATTATATTATACTCACGTCGACTTTGACATTTTTTTTATATCTGATGAAGCACTTATATTTTCCCTCTTTTGGTCAATGTATTGATTGTTTGATTAAAGACTGTGTTTGTTTGTGAATGTTTCCACTGCATTACTGTAATACACCTGAGTTTCAGAAATGGGAACAGGAACAGTTAAATGAAGTGACAGTTGGCCTATTTGCCTAATATTGCCACATTATTGACAGCTAGTTTGCTGCTGTAACTTGATTGTTGAGAAATATGGAATATCAGTCAGTACAAATGGATTCTTCCTCAACATTTGACTTTGTGTTGGCATACCTTTCACTAGGCCTTATCATTGACTCAAGCTGTGCAAACACAGATTTAGGTAGGGAAGAACGTCGCCTGGCATGGCACACCCTTTGAAATGTTATAATCAGGGTCAGAGAGGTTAGATTAAAAAATATATCCTTGAAATATAAAGGAGTTAATAACATGACCAATATTTTTACTCGAATAAATATACTGTTAGATTGTAACAGCATTGATTTGTGTTATTACAAAGAGTTTTGCTAATGGGCCTGGTAAAACATTTCAATGGGGTCATTCAGCAGACATGTCACAGATTGCAAACATCAACACAGACTTCTCCAAACAGTCCCTCCCCTGTCATGTGACAACAACAGAACTTCAACTACAAAGAAATAGCATGAATGTAATGGTCAACGTGCCAGAGTACTTGACTTACAGTAAGAACATAGACTGTATAAAGCTAAAGAAAGATTAAAATAAAAAGTTAAATTACCACCTTTAAGCATCTGTATTACAGTGATTGACTTTAAACCAAGTTTTAGCATCAAAGCCTGCTGTATATATCATGATTGGTTTTTATCTTGTATTGTTATAATAATCAATAACATAACACTCAATTAGTAGCCTTTACCAAGCTATTGAGCTATCAGCCTTTTATAATGCAATTTCATTATATGTTCTAATTATATGTGTCTCTCTATGTCAAATGAACTTACTATAGAAAACAGACTGGTTGATTGTGCAGAATTATTAAATACGTAAATATGCCAAAGGAAATCCCAATACAGTTATCATAAACTATGCCAGCCTTTACAAACACTGTATGTCAAAAACAAAACAAATTGGAATGACATCCAGCTGTCATGTGACCCAAAATATTAACAGTGACAAATATGGATGCCAACATAAAGGACATTATGTGTTGCTTAACAATGTAGAGTACTCTTCTCTAGTATTGTTAGTCTTCGTTTATTTGAGTTAGTGTTGTCATGTCACCGGAACACCACTTAATCTGGATACAAGCAATCCTGCTAATGTCAATGCAGCCTGTCAAGCCTCATCTGACATCGATGCATTTCCAACTATACAGCTGTTAGATAATTCAATAAAACGTTATATCCTTTGCTCAATATCGTTGGGCTAGCCTATTGTAGCAAGCTCTTGTGTTAACTTATTGCCCGAGTTAGCACTTCCAACCTGCCAATCGTTAGCAAATACAGCTACTCAGCATTCACCTATTCTAAATCCGACAGACATATTGAACTGAACAGGAACCATTTAGAGAAACTGTTCCGTCACTATAAAGCCAAGTGTTATGTAAAGGTGTTCGCAGTAATTTGGGGAATTAACACGCAGACTGGCCCTCGCTGAAGCCTTGAAACAGGCCATTACTGTGTGTAGCATGGGTAGCTAACGCCTGTTAGCCAAGCAACACTGGCAGTTACAGCCAACAAACAGGTTTTTGATTCCATAACTGAAGAAACAGACACATTTTACGTTGACGGTGCATGTGCGTGTGCGAGTGCGAAACAGCTTACCTTTATTCCCACGGTTTTATTTATTCCAACGGCGGTGGGCACAACATTGCACTCTCCCAATAACATCAGCAGCCAACAGCATCCAGCCGAGCTGTAAACACAAGCCCAACCAACCCGCTGACATCCGCACTGCGCATGCGCCTGTCAGTGCCCCTGTCGCCTGTGCTGAGGGAGGGGAAGTGATGGCATTACCTAACGACATGATGCTCACCGACAGAATGTCTTCTCAAATCAGTTCGAGACTAGAGACAAGTCGTAGTTAAAAAAAGATAACAGACTTAACTCAAATGTGTTAAGAGTTAAGTCTCCTCAACTTGTGTTGCAGTTGTGTAGCCCCTCGTGCCAAGGCTAAGTTGAGTCACAACTCGGCAGTATTCAAGTCTTCAACTAAGTCATATATTTGTAAATGTCAATGTATTAAGTGCAATTGTATATAATATTCATCTGTTAAATGACACAGACATAATTGTCCAAGGGGGAAGAGCATTGAATTAAGCATCTTCTAAAATAATAATAATATTGGGAGGGATGAAACCCTCTTTAATGGTCACACATGCAGAGCACACAGCACACACAGTGAAATGTGTTCTCTGCTTTTAACCCATCCTAGTACCAGGAGTCTAGTACTAGGAGGGGGAAAAAAGTCCATATAGTTCCCATTTAAAAGGGTATTTAAAGTTAAATTGTTCTATGAACATGAATAAACCCAATTCATAAAACATATTAGAAAAATAATAGAAATGTTTAGCGTTCACGGAGTAGAGACAGTATAGGAAATATAGTTAAGGTATAGTAATAATAAGGCCAGATGATTGGTTAAAGGTGGTTGAAGGTGCTTTTTGTTCTGAGATTCTATACGTTTGTTCTCTTTTAATGGGCCATGTATTGTTTGTGTCAATAAAATCAAGACATTTAAACATTCATACCTGTATTATTTCTCAGGGAAACAAAATCACTGCATTCCTTCAGCATTTTCCAACTGTAATGTGAACCCACATAATTGTTGGCAGTAGGGCAGTGTATTGTGCAGTAGTCAGATGTGAGAAACACAGCCATTGTTCTCAGTGTGTTGTGGTCATGCTGGCCCTTCCTGTCCAGCCTGTTAGGGCCTGTCGTCAGAGTTGGACCAGGTAACATGAGGCTAATGATGCCAAAGAAATGCTGCCTACCCTGGCTTAAATTATTGGCTAAAGCTAAATGAATTGGTTATGTTATCTCACGCTTCCTATCATAGTATTACAGTACATTAACAAATAATGACAGGAACCACACAAAACATGTTTTTCTGTTTGTTTATTGTGGCATGCATTTAATGTGCCTTTCCATATTTCCATCTCTTAGTGCAACACAGAAGCCTTATGCTGCTCGGCCAAGCTGTCTGTAATTCAGTGTAATACAGATGAACGAGCCATAAAATGCACAGAATATTCAGTCAGTTAACAACACTCAAACAGTTTCATCGATCATTAAAAAGCACATAAATCATTCTCATCGTAGGTTTGACTAACTCCAGTCCTGCATTACCATAAGGTCAGTAAAAGGGATTCCTTTCACAATGTGATATTTCCAAGGAAATAAATGGAATACGTAACAGTATTATTTATTAGTGGGACATTTAAGATATGCTGTCTCTTAAGGAGTTTACATTTTCCTCATTCTGAAACATTACACAACTGCCCCAAAGATTTAAACATTTAAATATATCTGATTATCACAGGTCGTATAAATGAGCGTCTATAATATAAGTCCATCTAATGATGGTGCCAGACTGTATACAATGACAGATGTGTACCATCTCATAGTTAATTTACATTTCAATCGAACAATAGATTTGCAAATAAAATGTCTAATACAGACATGAATAGTCAGAAAACATCATATGTCTCACGATCAACAAACAGGCTTTTCCCCCATATAATATAGAATAATGAGACACTTTTTTATCTAATAAAAAACTTCAGCTAATTCTCAATTCAAAACAAAGAAGCTGACTTATACCCGGAAGGAAAAATACCACAACACCAATCAAATGTGGTAATAACAATAATAGTCATAATATAATCTCTATCAAACAAGAATTTATTTTCATGAGCAAACAAGTAAAATGCTGCAAGCAGACTTCAGCACTTGACGTGGCCACACAGTGGGCATGTGCAGAACTCTTACAGCGCTGGGTGTGTTGTATCACAACTACAGAATCATCAATACTCCTCCGCCATCACAAGAGGGACTATATCGCATGCATGAAGCAGAATGCAGGGCGGATGGATTGGTGGGAGGAAGGCAAAGTTGGGTGGGGGGGCATAGTGCACCCGCTGGCAGTACATGGGTAGGCAGTGCAAATAACCACTACAGCAGTGCTCTGGACACTTTGATGGAAACGGGGTGTATCACTTCAATACTCACAATACTGCTTTTACTTACAGTAGTGCCCAGCCCTGCCCATGGGTGCAGGAATAGCAAAGCCAATATTGATACTGAGAGGCAAATGCAAAGTAAACACTGGCAAACAATATTATCTGTAAACCTTATGCTTTGAATGGAAGGCTGGTTTATCAGCAAGTGAAATCCAGGTTAATACTTCCACAGAATATTTAAGCGATGAATATAGAAAAAACAAAAGTAGCTGAGCAAGTTAAGTCTTCCCTGAGCGATTCAGACGAGAACGGATCTAGCCTCCTCTTATGGAACAAAGCAGAAATACACAAGAAGTGTTCTCAACTAAGCCTTTCCCTCCTCACATAGTTTACACTGGAGGGATAGGAAAAGCTGTCGGAAAATAGCAGGGATTGTACGGTACTGTACACGACATGGCACTTATATGACTTCAGAGGTGAAGTTGTAAACAGATGCAGAGCGACAGTAGCTGAGCTAATTTCAGGACTTCATCTCAGAAATAAAGCCTACAGAACATTGGACTTTTCATTAGAGTATTAAACCAAATTGTTCATTCCAATTCTTCCCTGTCTACCCGCTGTGTGGTTGGAAGATAAGCGGGAAAAAAAACAAAAGGTTAACCAGACCACTATTTTATTTTCTACTCAGGTTAATTAAGTTTTAACTTGAAACTCGATAAGCAATCCTGACACGTACGGACATTCTGCCATCCTCTAAAATGGGATTGGAAACTGGAACGATTCTTCTTTTCCTTTACAAATCTTATAAGATTTTTAAAAAGGTGTTATAAAACCCATGACTTTTAAATCTTGTATATGTAGGCTGGGTCCAGGTGGGCTGGGCTTTATGTAAATCACCCACAATGCACAAAATGACAGTAAACTAGACAGTGTAATGCATTCAATGGCAGGCAAAACACAGAGATACATCAGACAAGACGATACATTTTGTCTGTTTGTGATGTAAAATATAGCAAACAAAACAAGAGTAACAAAGATCCTGATACAAAATACGCCGGCAAACAACTTCACAGAAGTTAGCAATGCATCAAATAAAAGAAACCAAAGACTTTTTAAAAAGTTAAACAAAGATACAGCGTGAAGAAACACGAGAAGTGGTGTTTCACACTTTCATAAGCTTCAGTTTAATAACATGACCTCTGAATATTGTTTACAGTGTACGTTAAGGTGACCAGACTGGAAAGCACACCAAATGCCATGAGCTTACAAAAAAATTGGAATTTCCAGTTTTTTTAGATCGAGATCAAGGGAGCACCTCTGAAACAGGACAGGTGTCTGACAGCGTGGAGCCCAATGTAACACCAAGGAGAGGAAGGCCACTGCAATGCATGTTTGTGTCTACTGTGTGAGAATGTGTGTGTGAGAGGAAGAAGGAGAGCAGTGAGACTTCCGTGGTATTAAATGCTAGAACCACTACACGCACAAAGAGAAAAACAATAGATGTTTTACAAGATTGTTGTGAGTTAATGTGGCCTGTATACAAATCGACACACATATTTGTTTTGTTTTCTTCCCTTCTTACCTCAAGTGATTAATATTAATACCTGTGTCTCATAAAATAATGAGCTTGTTTAAGTGGCAGTTTTTTTGTGGAGTGCCCTCTTTTCTCCGTATTGTACGTTGGCTTATGGAAATAAATGCATTACAAAGTAAAAAGATAGCAATACTAATTCAATATAATTGTCAAATATTCATTCATGTTGTCAAAAAGGAATAAATAATTACTGTTTTGTTAAATATAGCTTTGGATAATGTCTCGAACCAACGCCTGCTTTGGAGGAAACAGACACAAGCTCGAGAGCATTTACATTCAGTCAATTATATTACTAACAATATATATTAAATTAAAACTTTTAGCAAATGATGTATGGTACCCAGCATCAATACTGGGAGAAGAACAGAATATGTAAGAAATATTGGGACTTTAGTGCTTGTTGATAATCAATGCTACTTGTAAAAAAAGTTAGAATAAGTAGAGGAAAGCATTAACAAATAATCAAATCCTGAAGTTAAAAGAGTGGCTCTTGCTGTGTTACGGACACTGTGAAATATCATGAAAAAATCGTAGTTGAATGACAACAGACTAAATTATGTGTCAGGCAAACAAATGTACAGGAAGAGATGAAGATGTTGTGAGATCTCCAGCCTTTTGAAAAAGTGGTTGAAACTGAAAACATGGAAAAGTTCAGCATTACAGCGAGGGGATCTGTGCCTTCATGGGTATAACATTGATATCTTTATGGAGCTGTATATTGCCAATAATAGCCACTTAGGGGGCAGGATGATTTTCTGTTGCCTTTTACAATGTGTCGCAGCACACATTTATTTAGGCGAATGATTGATGAAAGCTGGAAATAAATGGTATTCCCTTTAACCAGGATCTGATAGCCACTCAGCTCTCGCTTGGCGCAGATCAATGTCTGACTTTGTGTCCCCTTAGCTTCTATTGAGCAGCATTTCTGTCCCGGGTGTCTCAGGACAAGCCCGGGTGGAAGGGTCCCCCAGTCGAGGAGATCCAGTCCGCAGGACTAGCTTGCCAACGCCAAGACCTCCTGAGACCAAGCCTCCAGGAGACAATGACTTCCTGGAAAGCAGAAAGAATTGAAAGTCAAGGACAATTCTGACTAAAGATGACACTTTGAAACACCAATCACCACAGTAATTCACCTGAAGGCCATCTTTTTCAGCAGGTGAGTGTCCATCTTTTCTGTCAGAGGACCTTCTGTTTGGGAGTGCTCCTCCACAGGAGAAGAGAGGAGGGGAGAGGAGCAGGGTGGAGGGAGGAAGTGGGAAGCATCCTGAGACTGTAGGGCGGCCAGGTCTAAAGAGTCCTGAGAGGCAAAGATAAAAAATTAAAAAAAACAGGAAGTGAATGAATTGTAATAAAATATATCAAGCAACATCACAGACTGAGTGTGGATGTGTTTTTTTCACTTTACTATGTGGTGCATCTCTCTGGTGATATTTACACAGTGATACCAACCTGAGACTTGATCTCTGAGTCCTCCATGTCTAGAGCGCAGAGTTCGAGCTCGATGTCTCGCTCCGGGTCCGGTTCGCTCTCGGCCCGGCCCCGCTCCCGGCTGTAGGCGAACTGACGTGCCTGAAGGTCGGACGCGATTTTCTCTCCACTGCTAATGGACGTTCGGCGGCAGTGAAGATCTGATGCACAAAGCTGCTCGCTAAAACACAAACAGAGAAAGACAAATGTTCCATTTAGATTTATGAAATACAGCACGTCAAAAGGTGTACGCTTCTTGGAATCAAAATCCTGGGCATAAGTCAAAGATAATGGTAAAGTAAAATATAAATAAATACACTGTGTTGAAGGTCTGGTAATTTAACACAATTACAGCACAGTGTTAAAATAAAAATGGTCTATAAAGTAGCCTATTGGAAAATATGTTGATGTCATGCAGAGGGCTTTCCTGACTTATTTTCTCTGCTGCCCAGTGGGTTTTTACCAACCAGCTGGCTGCGCTATATTTAGTCTGACCACAGAGAGGAAACCACTGCAGCACAATGAGATAGAAGAGAGGGATGAGAGAGGACGAGTGAGAACAAACGTGTTAAGAGCAATCAGGAAGCAACTTCCATGTGTAACCAGAGTGGGAGAAATGTAATCAATGCTGTGAAATGACCTCAGTCATGTTCACATCATTCTTTGAAAGCAGAACCTAAACAATTTGAGTGTTTTCGTGTTCAATTCCCACTTCTTTCCATTTGTTTTGTCTGTGTAGATCAACAACATGTAAGACCTGAAGGTGAGATAGATGCTAAAAAAAGATAAATAAAGAGATGAAAGTGTGTGTAAACATGTTGTACCTCTCTAGGAAACTGGAGTGGCTGGAAGAGTCCGATCCTCTGGAGCTCCACCTGTAGTCGCTGTGATCCAGGTGGTGGTTGTAATCTTTGAGAGAAAAATAAAGCCTTTTTTTTAAGAATGGACACAGAAAAAAATCAAAGAAACATTTCTGTTAGAATAAAAAAAATACATAAATATGAGTCACATTTTATGCATGTAAGACAAGGAAAAGTACATCAGTTTGACATCCAACTTCAATTACAATAGTTACTTAGAAACAAAAACTAAATATCAATAAACAAGAAAAAGAACATATTAAATACAATAAATAAATCCAAATAAAAACCTTTATAATTGTAACATTGAAGGATTTGTATGGCTCCTAACCTTTAAAGTTGATGGGTGTGGTGTTGGCGCTCCCCTGGCAGGCTGTGGCTTGGATGGGGTCAGTGGTGTGGTAGCCCGTGCGAGATGCCCTGGATATGGCCCCCCACTTTGAGATAATGGGCCCCTCACTAAAGGGAATGATCGGGTCCTCGTCTTTCATGCGCCGATAATGATCCAACGAATGCAGCCATCTTTTCCCGACACCACTACTGCTCACACCACCTCCTCCACCTCCGTTACTGTCCAACTCCTGCATGAGAACAACATGGGTGCTGTTAGAAAAACATCCATAAAATGCCGCAGATTTTAATATTGTTTTCAGATGTGTGTCTGCGGGAAGAGTCTCACCGAGTGCTCTGAGCAGGAGTGAGCCGATGTGTGTGTGAGTGTTTCAGGCTCAAAGGGGCTGAGGCAGGTGCCGATGGTACCGCAGGACCACGGGGAGTAGTGGGCTAAACTCTCCTCGCCTCTGAACCTGCACCCCATGCACTGACCTCCGCTGCCCTCCACATGCTGAAAGAGGGAGAGATATTGGAAAATGAAGGTGAGACACACAGAGAAAAGTGAGTAAAAAAAATCTGGTGATCCATTTTGAAGTCTGATTTAAGTTCTGTCTGTGTTTAAAACTTTAGAGCAGGGGGAACAGAAGGTTTTGGAATGATACACTTTTTAATATATTTGTTTTCCATCCGTGTAAACAAGTAAATAAAAGTTTGGGCACGTAAAGTTTTCTTATAAATATGGCAATATCATTCTTGATGTTGTTGTAATACTCACTTCAACTACAAGAGGCACAATTGCACCATTAACCGACATTTTTAGATAAGGTCTTTTCTCTTTTCTTCTGCCAAAAATCTTTTTTTCAGCCGTTTTCACAGACGACAAAAAAGGAACTTAGGAAGATTATCCTGACAAGAGCTTTGTTGAAACTGATCTCATGTCACAAACACAGGAGAAAAAACAATTTAGATCAAACTTAGAAAATGATTTACCAGAATTGTTTTTCTTCTGCAGTTTGCTCAATAAATAAGACACTATTAACTCTTAATATTTTGCTGTGTAATCGTATTTGTATATATTGTTATATAATTATACAATGGCAGTTGTGTTGGAAACAATGTCTCAGCAACAGGCACTGCAACCTTCACCAACTTCCTGTTGGGTGTGCCTGTTTTTTATATGCTTACATCTATGCTCCAGACTCTAAATTGCCCAGAAATGTGAATGGGAGTGTGTATTGTAGTCAATGTCACATGTTAAATGTATATTTAAAATAAGAGGTACATAAGCCTTTACGCTCTCACTGCCGGTGCTAACCTGCTGCCACTCTGCTGCCATCCTTGTGGCACGCACCGGATATTATTTAATAGAAATAGCTAGTCTTTTCCCGATGCTCTTTTTAAGTGTTTTCTCATACAAAGACATTCAAATGAAATCAAGATCAGGGTGCAAACACTTAAAAATTCCTTGTTTCTTTAATTAGCTCTGGATGTTAAAGACGTCTCTGACATGCTTTTAAACAAAGCTTTACTCCGCTGAAAGTCTGAGTCACTGCTTGTTACAGTCTTTCCTCTCTCTCTCCCTCTCTCTCTCTCACACACCCCCACACATGCACATACGCCACAGTTTTGAATTGCTATGATATCTCCCTCCACAGTTGCTAAGCAACTATCTCCCACTTATATAGCATTGGGCACAGCTGAGGCGCACGCTTTTGGGAAAGGAATTCGATCTTACATATTTTAAAATGGTAATATACAAAACCAAGGCATTACTCTCAGTTTCAGGTGTCTGCACTGACACTATTAACAAACCGGTCATGGTGGCATTTGAATTGCAATTGTCACAACTGTAATCTGTGATGCTCTTTTGTGCGTGTAGATATGGCGTATATATTTCTTGCCCTTTACCTCTGCACCAAAATCGATGGTAAAGATGGGGGAGGACTGGGAGGGCCTGTTGGCGTTGTGATGGTGATGATGGTGAGCCCACTGTTCCTGCTTCCTCCTGAACAAATCCTCGTAACCGAGAGGAACGCGGCCATAATCCTGAAAAAACAGGAAGCGTGTGGAAGAAAAAAGAGAATAGAAACTTGTAATGACAAAATTATAATATTTTAAAATGTTGCGTTTAGTGATGATGCAATCAGGTAGTCAACACATCTCACTAAAGCCACTCAGAACCAAATAAGACTGCCGGTATATGCATTACTAAACAGTACTTTAAGTTTTCAGTTCAATCAGATTTGTGATCAATCTTCCTCAATCTTTTCCGAACTTGATATGCTCTGATTACATTTTATGTTTGTTTTAGGTCTAGACTTCAGGGTCGGACAGAGGAGGATTTCGGAAGATGTGGGGGTGGAAGCAATAAAGCTGTCCAATAAAAAACACTCAAGACCCTGGAGAGCTCTTTATTAAAATAATGATATTATTGTTGGTATCAGTGGATTTGCATTAGCTTAGTGTATAACGTAAGGCTCTCCCAGCATACTGTACATACAGGTGGTGGACACAAAAGGTTTGTTGAACATTTTATTATACTGAATTGTTTGTTTTCTCCAGAACAATGGAGAAAATATGAAATGCACACTGCAAATATCTAGAGATTATGCCTTACTTGGACCTAATTTAGCTTAAAATAAAGGATATTTTGTACTACAGTATACTGTAGTACTGCAGCAGTCAGTCTGAAACTGTAATGCTATATGATGAAATGAGAAGAACAGAACAGAGTGGGGGAGGCAGAAACATATTTTGGTGAGAAGTGGGAGGACTACAGAGGAGGATGAAGCTGCAGCTCTGTGGCTGGCAAGGGAAGGTGGATGTGAGATAATATGTGGGTGTAAAAAGGAGAAACTGAAGGAAAAGGTAATGTGGAGGAAAATGAAGCATTCAATCTGTTGCATGTACGACAGGCCAACATGGATTAATACAGATTTTCCACTGGTTATACTGAAAGCTAAAGATGAAATGAAAAAGGAAAGACAGTCATTTAAATATAAACCTTGGCCGAGAGCATTATTCTTTTACTTATGGCATGGCTCAATGTGAATTATCTCTTTTAAAGCATGCCCTATTATTCATAATTAAAATGCACAGTCTTTTAAGGTGTGATTGCCTGCACTCCTACTGTGAAGGTGGGAATAAATGTCACTCCAAAAAATTGGAGAAGCATTAGCCAAGTAACCATCAGTTAGTAGAGTTTTTAAATGTATGTGACTTAAACTAAAACAGCAGTGTTGCAGCAGTTAAATCATAGGAGTGTTGTTGAAATCTAATTCTTCCAGCCAATAAGGAGTGAGTTCAACCCATTGCCTAGCTACAAGAGGTGCATTATTTTTGCCTACCCTGTGTAGCCCCGCACGGTGTTCACTTCCGGAGCAGTAGTTGCTGTCTAGAGAGTTGAATCTCTCCCTGAGTGGAGGCTGGTAGACGGAGGAATGCAGCACTTCCGGAGGCAGCGAGTTGCTCCTGGCATCCTCCCTGTGGTACAGCTGTAAGAGATAATAACCGTCATTACTGGTGTTGTCACATAATGACCAAATTAACAGTTACATGAAAATGAACAGAGGGCTCACCTGAGGCCTCCAGACTCTCCTGCTGTCGTAGAGCGGAGCATAAACACCGTGAGCAGGAGCCAGAGGGCCGTACTGAGGCTGCCCCGGGTGGTGGTGGAAGGCAGGAGGTCCCATCCTATCTCGGGGAGGGAAGCCCGAAGAGGAGGAGGAAGGTGGGTGTGGTGCATGTGGGTCATTTGGGTAGGAAGATGGCGGAGGGCCAATCGAGGGCGGGAGAGAGGATTCTGGGACGTTGGAGGATCGAAGGAAGCGAGCCATGCAGGGTTTGTGAGGAGGATGGAGAGAGGATTGGTAGTAGGAACCTGCTGGAGAGGAAGAGGATGGAGAGAAAATAGAGGAAAAGAACAGGAGAGGAGAGGAGATTAAGGAAGAGAAGAGAATATTAATTTCCACTTTTTCCCAAGACAACAATAACGTTTTTTAAATCAAGCTTTCACTTTACAATGGACTCACAGGTTGGTTGATAATGTGGCGTGTCATATGCAGAGTGGGGCTCCTGATAGTACAGCTCTGACGCCTGAGAAGGATGTGGTGCGCGCAGCACATACTGACCATGTTTGGGCATAGAAGCGCCACCATCACCCCGCCCCCCTGCTGTTGTCAAGGGAGACGACGCTGAGGAGTGGCTGACCGGAGTCCTGGGAGGGGAGATGAGCTTCCTGAGTGACACAAAGAGAAAGAATGAACACATGAATGGCTCTTATGATGAGTTGGAGATAGATTCCCAACATCACTTTTCTGCCACAATATGCAAATATCCCATGTGTGCAAATCCAGATATCAGGTGACATGTAAATGATGAGACTCAATTCAATTAGTCATGTGATATGCATTGTAATAAAGAAAAATGTTGCATGCTATTATCCATTTATTTAATGTTGAATTTTAAACTGTTTAATAACATTTCTCTATTGGACTCCACATAAACTGCTATTAAGTCATATTAGACTGGTCCCTGGTTAAAAATTCAACATGAGAATACAAGAATTAGTGTAAAAGTGGATACAGAATCGTACTTTTCAGTTGACCCCGTGTTTCTGCTGGATAGCCCGTTGGACCCATTAGCCCCATTGGATCCATTTGGCACCGCCCTCTTTATTTCCTCCATCATGTCAGCCCCTCTGGAGATCAGTTGTGGGTGAGTCAGGCTGGGCACCCCCTCTGTCAGGGAGGCCATGTCCTCCCCTGTGTCTTGGAGCCCTTGCCCCACGCCTGCAGACGATTCTTCGTGGATGCCGCCCTCCATGGTGAAGGTTTTACCCATAACCCCTGGAGACAAAGGGAATGCACGGCCAGCGCTGATGCTCTTCTTGTTTCTCAGTCTGAATCTGAGAAAGAAAGGACATCCAGAACAAAATAAAGGGTTATGTTTTGCTTAGAGAACATCTTAATAAACATGTGATTAGATATGTGCACTGAGAACCTCTTGTAATCCGAAAAATCTAATTTAAAAGGGAGACTTTGGGAATATTTTTCATGTTCAAATAATAAATAAAGTTCAATAAAGTTTCATGATGCAGCTATAAAGCATTCTAACTGCTATGGTTGAACAAGCAGACTTCTGTGAAACATTCCTCTTTTTATCTTTCCATTAATGCAAATTCTTCTATCTGGAATACACTGAGTCTCTTTTGAGAGTGAGCACTTACTTCTCCAGTTCATCCTGTGTGTGTGCAAAAGTACAGTTGGTTCCTCTGGGACAGCCTCCCTGCTGACGGAGGTCTCTGCACATGCTGGTCTTGTACTTGCTGTTGGCCTGAGGCTGAAAAATGCACAGATACAATTTACATTAACAGCCAACTATTGATTATAAGTCTAAAAATAAAAAAGGCTAAAATGTACATGATTCCAAATCCGAAATTGTAAGCTGCGATCATACAACATAATCAGTTATGGGTGTAAAATGAATGTCAACATCAAGAAATTAAAGTTTAGTCTTAACAGTTTTTATATGCTGTTGTTGGTAATTTCATACATTATGGTAGTAGATGTTGAAATGGAAAAGTCGCAAAATGTCCCAATAGATGTCAAACAGATGTCACAGTCAAAGCCCACAAACAGGGGTCGGCATACTACAAAGGATTTGCTGCGTACTAAATGAAACATGATCATGAGACTTTCATTTCCTTTACGGTGCATTCTGGATGGAAAACAAATGTTTAGTTTTTGCCAATTTTTGAAACTACTTGGCTCCAAATCAAACACACAAACAGATATCCTGGTTTACAGAGCTTATGACGAAACCAATATAGTGTGTTATACTGTGAAAAGGAAAAGGTTAATTCCTTTGATAATAAATACACAAAAAGTAGTAGTACTCGTGATGTTTCAGTTTGATGGCATATAATTGGGTGTCCTTATTACTATAATAATTTTCCTAAAATTAGTTAGTAAAACATAATACATCTGCTTGCTTACAGTATAACAATTGTTTGCCAAACCCTAACCCCTAACCCTGCCAATACACAGCCCTACACAATTTTAAAGTTTGCTTTACACCTCTCTGTACAGTATATGATAAACAATGATAATGAACCAATAAAGCCTCTATTCACTCCACTACACTGTATGCAATGTAAAATAACAGTTTGGTCTTTGCAGCTGCATTATCTGATGTTAGGTATTTTAATGCTGTGATATCTGGAGTGCAGGGTAATGTCGCTTTAACTATTTTAGAAGCCTGAAGGAAGTGTACAGCTAGACCCTGAACTTCTTATCTTGCAGCTCAATGGCCTTCCAGGGTGCCAGGATGGAGCAACAGCACTTCTCTTCTTTACTATTCTAAACCTTTTTCCACTTGGAAAAAGTTATGTTTAATATTGCTCACATTTTCTTCAGATCAATAGATTTTCCAATATTTCCCTTTCGGCAGTGTACCTGTGGAGTGTCATGGCTCTTTTTGCTGAAGTTCTGTATGAATTCCACAAGTCCATGAACCACCAACTTCACAGCTAGCATCACACTTTCCAGCTCCTCCCATGATGGTGCCGGGACATCTGCACACAGATCACACACACACTCTGTTCACAAGAGATTCTCAAAAACACTCAGATAGCAGCAAAGCTAAAAATAATTTAAGTATTAGGTTAGCGCAAACTCTCTAGCTGACTTGCTTTTTGGATGAAGACAAATGCACTTTTGTCATTATAGCCATTATACCGTATGCTAACCAAAAAAACTGACATTAAAAGAAAATAACATATTTAATGGTGTACATGTTAAGAGAAAAATTAAAAAAGTCTAAGAGGGTATTCAGCCATTGCTAGCAGCTCTGTGAGGCTGTTCTAAGGCAGAGCGATGCTTTAAGCTAAACGCTAACTTTAGCATGAAAATGTAATAAACTGTTCTTTATTTCAGGTAGGTTTCAGGTTCAAGTTATTGCACCCATTTCACATTTTACAATAGAAGCTACGTAAAAGAATAATTAGTATAGGAGTACCTTGTCATGTTGCCAGAAGGGACAAAGTAAATAATGATAATATAAAAACTAACCAGAAAACCACAATACATTTCTATTGCCATAATATTTTAAAATGCTTTAGTTTATTGGTTTAGTTGTCAAGGACCATGTACAACTGAAACTAATACACTTCACATACAATTTAAATTTCTATTTATACTAGATATGCTAACTCATTTATTTGTGTTGTGCTTTCCTTAATACATATTAACCCAAGATGAAAAGATGAATGTGTAGTTTTAATCTTTTGTTATGCTTTTAATTAGCAATTTGGTATATGACTGCCAGAAGGGGCCTATATTCATCACTTTTCAATCTCATTAATCCTTCTGGAACATGACAAGCGTATGAATCACTCATTAGCATTCATTCAGGTGAATGCTGATAAACAAACTGACGTACCTGGGTTGTGGTCTATGTTGGCGAGCAGCTCTAGGTGCGGTCTAAGGCTTGTGAGGTTGGCGGGGTCCCCTGTCCTCTGAAGTACGATCGTCAGTTCCTGAACGCTCTTTGCAAACGACTCCGGAGACTGCAACTGAAGCAGAGGATAGAAGAAGAGAGTGGGTGGGTCTTTAAAAATAATAAGATGAATGTATTTCTCCTGTTTCTGTTCGCCAGAGACTTGTTATACCCACCATTTGAAATTTGAAAAGTGGGTTTAATAATGAAAGCAGAAAGTTGTAGTGGAAAGAGCCTCTTAGTAATGATGGGCATATGAATCATACTGGTACCTTGTCTATAATGGACTGCATATGTGATTTATGGACCAAGTCTCCGTACAACAGAGAGGACCACTGCTCGGGGGAAATCCGTAGTCCCGCCTCCATGGCGATGTGGACGATCTGAGCGTCATGTTCTCTCCGGAGAGCCTCGTACGTTCGGAACTCTTCTTTCAGCTGCATCAGCGAGGAGTCTTCATCCCGCTTAGTCACCTGACAGACGATGGACATAGAGGGAATAAGAAAGAAGGAGGAATTGAGAGGCAGAAAGTGTGGAGAAACATAAGGAAGAATTGAAACTAAGACTAATTCGCAACTATCGTGTGTATTTTGGCAATTCAATGTTTTAAATTTGCCAACCAGTAAGTGTGTGGTGTCTTCAGACTTGTAAACTCATTTCAGATCAAAGAAAGGGATTTCCCCTTCTCAGAATCTGCCCTATGAGTAATCATCATAAGACACCAACACACAACCAGCCGTGTTACTTACAATTATGCAGTGCAGGTCAAAGATATAATCAAACAGAATCAGATTTCATCATTATTGGAGCTCTTGCTGCTGTCCTTCCTCTTGTCTGTTTTCTCTTTGTTCCTGCACTTTGATTTATCTTCCTCTGCATCTCTGAGCTGTCTGTCTCTGTCTTTCAAAGCGGGTAAGAGTGAGGGCAAATATAGACCGCTGTTACATCAGAAGCAGATAGCTGGTATTTCTGCCCTACCAGCAATGTCTGTCATCAGATAGCGCGCACAGAAATACACGCATGCACAGAGTAACATACACAGACACCCATATCCGATATGTAATATAAGATATTTGTAGTTTGGGCAACCCATTTAGGGAGTAATAATACTTAAATGTCAGACAGGGTTAAGTTACAGTGGAGCTCAATGCATAGCTGAAAGGGGATTACCAAAGCAGACACTAAAAAACGACTTATTTAGTTAACTAGTTAGAAATAGGTGGAAATAGTTTACTTAAACTGACCAGAATAAATGTTATGGAAAGGCTGACATGTAAAAATTATACTGTTATATGGAGAACTATCTCTGCAGTAATAATATGTAGTTGTAAATGAGGATCTATTTAAATATCCTTGTTTTAATGAGGTAATTTATTATGTCTTGGGTTCTTTGGACCGCAGCAAACTGAGGATCTTTTGTTCAGTTTGACGCAGATAAGAACAGGAATAATTGATTTTTTATATTTAATAAATAATTTGTGCAGCTTGCTCACATGTCCTTGCAAGTGCACATATGTATGTGTTTGGTGTGAATGTGTGTATATTCAATCATGTTGCCAGTACCTTGAAGCAGGAGGCCCTGTAGAGAAGCTGCACCACGTGCCCTATGCTGGTTTTGGAGGCCTGGGGGAAGCGAGCCTCGAGCTTTTGAACTACAAACAAAACTAACACCTTCCTGGACAAAGCTGAGCCGTCTTCCAGAGCCAGTAAAACTAGTTTCAGAGCGTCTTCTTGCATAGCTGGGGAGGAACAATAGAACGGGAAGACAACAAGGGGTGGGGATGGTGGGAGCAGGAAAGAATACACATTTTTTAACTAAAGATTCAAACAAACAACGCATTTAATTGTACTACAAATACGTTGTTAGAGCTGGTGAGTTGTCCTCAGACTCTCAAGTGAACTCATTCTGTTATCATGATGAAAATCAGAATCTGCCCTATGAGTAATCATCACAGGACACCGGGTACCAGCACCAGCAGTCTGTTTTATGATGCTATCTAATGAGGAAATTCAGAAGGGACACAATGAGTCCGGTCAACTGAATTTACACACCAAACCATAAATCCTACAGGTTTATTTTGATAGCAGCAATAGTATACTTAATTGTTCTTAATTTGTGTCATGAGGCTCTTACTTGTAATTTATTGTCTTCTGTTTTGCGATTGTAGTAATGTGTTATTTATTATTTGCATGTACAGCACTTTGGCTCGACCAAAAATCATTTTAAAATGTGCTTTATAAATAAAACCTGATTTGATTTGATTTGATTTGATTTACTTAGAAGTTATAAACAGGTTATTCATTATAAAAGTGAACATCAAGGCAACCCTTTTAAATCAAAGTGCTTACAAAACTTCCAATTAGTCACCTTTAAAATGTGTTTCAAAGTTCTAGTTTGTGATAGCTAAAAGACAAGATGCAAATGCTTAATCCTTACTTTCAAAAGGCTAACAAAAGTGTCCTTTGGATCTACTAACACATTCTATCTGCCTAAATTAGCATGAAATGTCTTTAAAATGACACATATTCCCTTGCTAAACAAATCTATATGGAGCATGATGTTGATATCACTGATGTATGTGTTCTGTATGATTATGCAAACCTACCAGGACCCAGGAACTGGCAGCCCCGCGCCCTCACCGCTGCCCAGAGGTTGGCAGAGAGCTGCTGGGGGTTCTGGTGCTGGAGGATGAGCTCGGTTACGGTCCGTTCTCCCAGCGACCGGCCGGCCCGCACCGCCCGCACACGGCCCTCCTCCTCCACCAGCTGGCAGTTCACCAAGGTCACCAGCTTCCTCTGCATCGGCCGGCTGAGCACGCTGGGACTCAGAGTCGCCACACCTGCAGAAGGTGACAGTTCTGTGGTAAAAAAAATGAGGCTATTACTGTAGTTATCAGTCATTTTTTTTATTGAATTGATTTTCTCTGTATTTAACTCTTTTACAACCAGCTATGTAGGTGGCTTTAGAGGAGTTTTCAGTGAATGGATACGCCTGGAAAGTTTACTTTACATTATGCTTCTTTGTAAACTACATGTTACATAATAAGAATTGTCCAAATTATTAAATTTGGCAATGATGATGCACAGCGACGTCACAGAATTGGCCGAAAAAACAAACGGAAACCGCTGGTCATTTTCATCGAGGTTCGTCTTTTCACAGAAAGCTGAATTCTTCCTCAATTCCATAAAAGAACAGCTTTCAGGCATCATGAGAAGTGTGAGAAGGATAAATGCCAAGTTGCAAAGTGTAGCCCACGCACATTTATCATCAAGATTTTCATTTTATAGATGTCCACAAACATTCAACTCAAATGTGCCATCAAAAACGGATATGCACACACACATACCTTTTGCTCCGCTGATGGGTTTCAGGTAGAGAGCCAGCTCTTCAACGCACACCTTGCACGCCTCATAGTTCTCAACTTCTGCTGCACTGTTCAGGCTCACCGGTTGCACATCTGGGACCTAAGTAAAACACATCATGAGCACTCAAAAGCACACAGACATGTCACAAGTTTTGACACAAACATGCCTTTTTTCTTTTACTCACCTGAGCTCCAACCAGCTGCAGCAGGGCACAGTTGACCGGCAGCAGGTCGATGTCAGTGCTGATGGGGGTCTGGTCGAAGGGGCAGGCCTTGCGGTGCAGCTTGTGGAGGCAGGTCTTACACACCGTGTGGGAGCAGCCCAGGCTGATGGGCTGGTGGCCGCTGCTGTCAAACTCATTGTAGCAGATGGGACAGGACAGGAACTCCGTCCACTGGGCCGCCTGCACTGGCATCCTTCCACCACACCACCAAGGGGGGCTCCGCCGAGCTCAGGGGGAACGCATGTCAACGAGCCCTGACAACAGCTCCCGCTCGCCGATGATGACTGTGAAGAACAGCACATGAAGTTATAGCAGCCATTTTGAAGAGACACATTTTGTCACAATACTGGAAAAACATCTTTGGAGATGCAACCAATGAATTGTATTAAAGATGTCCTTATGGACAAGAGATAGTAAAAGGCCTGATACATTTAAGAAAACTCTCTGCCACTACTACTAGTATATTACAAAAAAGTATTATTGTTAATCGACTAACTGTTTCAGCACTACAATAGATAGATAATCGCCCACATGGTATGACTCAACATAAGAATGATTATAGTGTGCCAGTCATTATTATTATTATTATTATTATTATTATTATTATTATTATTATTATTATTATTATTATTATTATTATTATTATTATTATTATTATTGTCATTATAATACCATAACTTCAACTATAGGTACACCAAAAAAAGAAAAGCATTACTTTCTGATGTTCAAAAAAATAGCCTTCACCATTCTATTGTTTAAGAGCCCTTAAGAATAGCTATGTACATGTGCTCTGTTTGGAGATGCAGCTGCATGAGCAAATATTTGTAGCCAGCCACCAGCTTTATAAATCCACAATACTTTAGCTCTAAAATATTCATTAAATGTGACTAAAGTAAACAGAGATAGGATCCGCAGTGTCCTGTTTTAGTACAACTCATTCTCAGTTGTCATAGACTGGCACAATGCCACACGGTGAGACATATATATCTGAAATAAAGAAAAACAACTCTACTTATTTATTATAGCATCAAAATTAAACATCCATAAAGGAACAGACAAATAATTTTGCATTGCTATATGAAGTATTGTGTCTTAGAGCTTCAGAAAGGATTGCAGAAAGGATGAAAAGCAAAGTGGAGGAGTAAAAAAGAAAAAAAGGTATGATAAAAACGCAGCCTGTAACTGAATAGAACAATGAACAGATAGATATGTGTGAGACAAACATCATAAGATCTAAATCTGCTCTATTTGAAATGTAGACTTCTTGAATTCTAGTCACCTCAGTCTAAATTATTCCACTTTTTTGAAAACATTTCATACCAGCAAGGGTTCTTCTTGTCAAAGTGTCAAATACAATATTGCAACCTCATTAGTGCTACTTGATGCATTATCCAATTAACTAAAAGTGATTATTTTCTCATCCTTCTGACTATGCATTTCTAGGTAAAATCATTGAAAAAGTTGTATTTCAACAGTTGAGTAACTTCTTGCATTTAAATAACTGTTTGGATGTGTTCCAGTCAGGATTTCGTCCAAACCACAGCACTGAGACTGCTCTTGTAAAGGTCTTCAATGACATCCACTTAAACACAGACAGTGGCAGAACTTCAGTGTTAGTATTATTAGATCTCAGTGCTGCGTTTGACACTGTTGACCACAACATATTACTAGACCGACTAGAAAACTGGGTGGGACCTTCGGCAACAGTTCTAAATTGGTTTGAGTCCTACTTAAAGGACAGAAAAAACTTTGTTTCTATAGGTAAATACACATCTGAGTTGACAAATATGACATGTGGGGTACCTCAAGGCTCCATCTTGGGGCCTCTTCTCTTTAACATCTACATGCTACCACTGGCTCAGATAATGAAAAACAACAAAATAAGTTACCATAGCTATGCGGATGACACACACATTTACGTAACAATTTCACCAGGAGACTACGCTCCAATTCAAATACTGAGTAAGTGCATTGAGCAAATCAATGACTGGATGTGTCAGAACTTTCTCCAATTAAACAAAGATAAAACTGAGGTAATGGTTTTTGGAGCCAAGGCAGAACGTATAAAAGTTAGCGCTGAGCTTCAGTCTGCAATGTTCAAAACAACAGATAGAAATCTAGGTGTAGTCATGGACTCTGACCTGAGTTTCAACAGTCACATTAAAACAGTTACTAAATCAGCCTACTATCACCTAAAGAATATATCCAGGATTAAAAGACTAATGTCACAGCAGGATTTGGAAAAACTTGTCCATGCTTTTATCTTCAGTAGACTGGACTACTGTAATGGTGTCTTTACAGGTCTCACTAAAAAATCTATTAGAAAGCTGCAGCTAATTCAGAACGCCGCTGCTCGAGTCCTCACTAACACTAAGAAAGTGGATCACATCACTCCTGTTCTGAAGTCCTTACACTGGCTTCCTGTGTGTCAAAGAATAGATTTCAAAATATTGTTGCTGGTTTATAAAGCTTTGAATGGTTTAGGCCCAAAATACATGTCTGACCTACTGCTAAATTATGAACCATCCAGAACTCTCAGGTCTTCAGGGACTGGTCAGCTTTCTGTCCCCAGAGTCAGAACTGAACATGGTAAAGCAGCGTTCAGTTATTATGCTCCAAATATCTGGAACAAACTCCCAGAAACCTGCAGATCCGCTGCAACTCTTACTACTTTTAAATCCAGGCTGAAGACTTTTCTTTTTGCCGCTGCTTTTAATTGAACTATTCACATCTTAAACTGCACTGTAACTTTTATCCATGTATTTTTTCTTTTAATGTTTATTTTATTATCTTTTCTTTTTAATGACTGATTTTAAATGCCATTTTCTTAATGTCTTTCATTTTTTGTAAAGCACTTTGAATTGCCTTGTGTTGAAAGGTGCTATATAAATAAACTTGCCTTGCCTTGCCTTGCCTATGCAAAGTGTTTTTGACACCTTGTACAGACAGCCAGCACCTGTTGCTTGAGTCTGTTCAAACTGTTCTCCAAAATAACAGCTGGCGCCCTCACAGAACAGGTGCCTTCATTTACTGGTAACAAAGGCTATTCAAAGAGGTTTAGAGAATACAGTAAATAAGTAACACACACAAACACAACCAGTACAAATAAAGGAGATTAGAGAGAATAAAGAAATGAGCTACCTGGCTTAATCAGTTTTGAAAATATGCTGCAACAAGCATGTGTTAAAAAATGATATATATAAAATTATGTATTTGTGTATACTGTACACACTGTGTTTCCAGGTCCCAATGAAATAAAACGAACTGCATACAGTATCTGGAACATTAACGAAAAAGGTTCCACCAAGTTTCCTAACCCTAACCCTGACCTTAAAAAACAACCTTTTATGGCAAGCAAAATATCAGATCAAATACAATATGCACACTAGCAGCCTCGTGGAAAGGGAAAGATGATCTGTGCGCATTACGCTCGCCCTATACGCCATAATAAACAACAGATTGCACTCTGAGCTTCACCACATAATGTATTGTATTTAGATTTGACTCATAATATGTGGCTTCGTGCCATTTACGCACCTTCCAAACCGTCCGCAGCGCGCGGTGCCCGGGTTGCCCCCTTGGCCGCGTGGAACGCTCCACTCTGTCCTCGCGCGTCATATTTCCTTCTGCAAGGAGCCCGAATATAATATAACACCGATTGCGGCTATAGTAGCTCGCAAGCTCCTGATCCAACGTCTGAGGAAGAGTGAGGCGACACTCAGGGTTCAGGAGAACGTTTGGGGACGATGGTGGAGGTGGGGAGTTTTATCTTGGCACCAGAGCCTGGATAAATCTCTCCTCCTGTGTATGCGCAGATTAGGGAGGGGTGTAAACTATGAGTGCAACTGTTCACCATGATATACTAGCTGTACTTACAGTGACAGCCACCTGTTCCTGCTCTGAGCAACTGCTGCATCCTGTTTTTTACTGGCAGTGCAAAAATGGCTCCTGCACACATGGCTGGATTCAAGCCTGCACACCAAAGTGACCTTCATTATGCATAAGTATACCACAGCACATGGAGAGTCCATAATATCATGATGTACACAAGACTTCCATTACTTGCATGAATGGACCAATGACTTGCGTGTGTATGCACACACACAAACAGCCCCCATAGTCATGAACAAGTCTTGTGACAGGGAGCAGTGGGCGTGCAGGATTGTCACGGGAGAACTCAACTTCCTCATCAGACTCTTTTTCTCCCTGGCTGTTTTTTTAAACAAGAAAATCGACCTTAGAGCTCTGTTTTTTTTCTTTCCAACTGGTCCGTGCCTGTTACTCTGCCTGAACTGGTTTGTAGTGTGGGAAAACTTTAGGACGTGCTATCGAAAATGAACCAGCACTTTAAGCGTCCACTTTTAGGAGCAAAGTTTCCCCTTAAACTGTTGGAAGAAGGCTGCGGTGGCATCCACTTTACTGAGAGAGGGATGAGAAGTACATTGTGTCTTTACAGCCAACAGTTGGCCAGCTATCATCTGGCTCAGGACACTGAGTCCTCGCTTAGCCCCTTCTGTATGGGGGGAGGGCATCTGGAGTTTCCTTTGGCATGTGTCATAAAGAGACAGACAGGCTGATATAGAAAGATTGCTTTACATATCTGTTCTCAGAATATTGAGGTGAGAACACAATAGTAAGATGTTTGGGACATCCATCACTTTATTAGATTTGGACTTTGGTTTAGGCTTATGATGAAATTGTACCTCAGGGTAAAGGTTGATGTTCTCACATTGCCAGCGAAAGGTCGGGGAAGAAATAAATCAAAACTGGTGTAGGCTTAAACCACTACAGTGTCTGCAAAATATCTAGTAGCTAGAGTCATCGCTGTTTTCCTTAAAAAACACAACAACAAAAGGAAGCAGAATATTGCAGCGAGGCTCATCCAAGTGGTACACACCCTCATGCAGGCTTAGGTTATGGTTGGAAGTTGTAGCTAAGGAATGTACAGTATGATGGACTGATGTGACTGTTTTGGGTTGTCACACTTAACATCCGTGTAGTTTGCATCAATTTATGATTGGGCTCTGGCATGACATTTAACAGTTGTTCAGTATTTCTGTGGATATACAGTAGAGCTGGCACAGTTAATCTAATATACCCATAGAGAGACACATCAGCACCACATGCATCTGAATAAAGAAGGTGACTGATGGGTCCATGTGTTATGTGGAAAGCAGAGTGTTTGGAGACAAAACAGGCAAAACATTGTTTTTTTCAATGCACTGGGGAAATTTAAGAGTTACAAGAGAACATCAACAATTCAACACAAGGTGTTTTTTCACTATGTTTTTCTATTAACGTCTATAGATTTCATAAAACTTGTAATGCAAAAATAAATGTATTAATATATTTAATCAACTGGGGAAGCTTTATGATGTTACCTATAAGTTAAAACATGTACTCTAGCACTTGTAGTGTCTCCCCTTAAGCCAAAACATGTATACAAAATGTGAAATGTTAAAACTGACATCTTATATTAGTTCTGACAGCTGTAAGTCTGAGGCCTTGTCATGCCTGAGTAGTGTAAGACACATACTGACATGAGGATCTGTATTGCATATCGTCCCTCACTCTCTCTCTACTGTCAATATCAACTGTCAACTGACAAATAAAGTCAAAAACATGTCAAAAGATAAATCTAAATGTAAGCTCTAGCAACAACCAGTAGCGACAATAAGAGGAGAGCAAGCATGCGTCTTCAAATGTACCAAAAGTCATGTTCAAAATTATCCAAAAACGATTGGCTACTCGTGCACTAGCCAATACAAAAAAACACACTGAGACAGACACCACTACTGAGCATGAGCTTGACCTGAAGGAAAGGAATCTGAAGTAATATGACGACTCCTTCTCACTGTCTCTGTGACCCTTTGCTTAGAACATTCAGTGTGTGTGTGTGGGTGTGTGTGTGTGTGTGTGTGTGTGTGTGTGTGTGTGTGTGTGTGTGTGTGTGTGTGTGTGTGTGTGTGTGTGTGTGTGCGTGCGTGCGTGCGTGCGTGCGTGCGTGCGTGCGTGCGTGCGTGCGTGCGTGCGTGCGTGCGTGTGTGTGTGTGTGTGTGTGTGCGCATGTGTGTGTAGTATGGTTTGTGATGTCACTGGAACAGTTGGTACTTTTACCAGAGATACACATTTATAAAAATAAGATAATTCCAAAAGATTCCTCATATTGGGTTGTGACAAAACAAAGATCCCATTCTATTATTTAAGACAGTACTACTGTAACCAATACTGTGATTTGAATATTTTAAAACATACAGGTATCATTTGATATTTCAACAATTGCAATAGTTCCATGATTCACTTTTCGCTCGCTCTTGTAAATGTGCTAATAACCATTTTAATTCCCACTCAATGTGTCTGGCAGGCCCCTCTACAGCATGATCTGCAACCATAATTTTAACATAAACTTTATTTCATTGCCTTCATCAGCCTTCTGGGAACAACTCTGTGGGTAAAGCACAAGAGTGAAACTTCACACCCACCACAGTGATACAAATCTATGTCATTAAAGTCAAGCAAGGTAAGAATAATACACATTGAGCTCAAATGAAACAATACTGCTTTTTGTTGTAGAGGAAATGTCTGTTTAGATGTATAAAAGCTTTCCATATCAGAGGCAGCCCCTATCAGATTAAAAGGGAACGTAACAGGTAACAGGTTAATGGTAAAGAGAAAGTTAAACTTAAACACTGATGATGCTTGTTAAACTTTAAAAAAGATTAAACAGGCTCACCATCTACAGTATAATGAACACTGGGAAGTATTCATTACAAAACATGAATGCAAGCAGTGTGCAACAAAATAAATCATCATATTTTGGAACACACATTTTGAATGTTGTTTGTATGGAAGAATAATTAAGAGCAGCTTGTTTTTCTGTGATATTTGAGAGTTTCATTAAATTATGTATAACAGGGTTACTACAGTTGTTTTATGTCTGCTCACTTGTTTTTGAGAGTACATTGGGGGAGTCTGTGATTATTTATTCATTATGCCTGTCATCACAGTGTGGGGGTTGTGTATGAGCATGGTATGCAGGGCAACTCACCAGCTACTGTACAGCACATATATTATTGGCATACATTATTATTCCTGTGAGATATACGTACATGTCTGCAGTAACAGATGCCAGGGTTATGCAATATTATTTTGACGCAGCTAGGGATAATATTGTTTGAGTATCCGGTTACTTCCAGTTGCAAATCAGCAGGTTATAGAGTAACCTCCAACATGACAGACTGCTGCAAACTTTATGTCAGAGCTGCATTTCAGACTCAAGTCTACAGTTGGTCATATGCAACAACTAGAGTTGTAAACACCTCTGCTTTGGCTCAGGATTCCCTTTGAGAGCAAAAGGGTTGTACAAAGGTTGGTGCAAAATCCCATTATCACTTTGGAGGGTAACATAAATAGTCTCCACCATTGCACCATCATATCTACAATATTATGTTGCTTTAGAGCTTGACTGCCTCTACTCTAGATAACCCTGGTTCACATGCGAATCTGAGTGTGAGCAATGGGCCCATATTTTAAATATAACACGCTTTCTTATATTATTCCCTCAGCACCAGTTGCAGGAATTCACATTGAGCTGGTAGCCGAATAGTTCTAGGTTTAATTATGTCATTTATGGAAATCTTCAGCAGTTCATTTATTTCTTATTTCACCTGAGGAAAACATAAACATGAAAACAGTGCTATTCTGAAACAAAAATGTCATAGGCTTTGCACACGTCAAACAAAATCACGAAGAAAAGTAGCGCGCACCTCTGGATAAGTCACTTACCTCACGCAGCACACCACAGCATCAGAATACACATATTCATCCACAGAAGCGCATCAGAATAAAAAAAAAATCTTCATCAGTTGTTAGAAGCCAGCAGCAGGGAGATAATTCTTAACGTTGAAGCGAAATGCCTCTGCATCTCAAATCATTAGCTGCCTTGGTCTAGTTTTGATCCTCTGCCCCCCTTTCGATGGTACATGACGGTTCTCTCAGGTACAGTGAGCCTCACTCTCTCCGTCTGATGAACCGGGGCTGAGAGGAGATGGTGGTATCGCTCCGCCGGTGATGGTGCCTGAACTGCGCCTCAGCCTCACCGCCGGGCTGCACAGGCGGAGACCTGCTGCACACGCATCCTGCATACTCTGCCTGAGACACGGTTATGTTCACTCCGACAGTTTAACAAAAATGCTTTGGAGTAAAATGTTCTATAGAGTGGCGCGGGGGCACTATTTTAATATTGTGAGCAAGGATAAAAAGATGTAAAGGGGCAAGCCGGAACAAGCCGCTTTTCGAGGCGTGGGCTGTCTGCTTTTAAAGGAACAGAGGATGCGCTTCGACAAGTGCGCCTGTCAAGAGGAAGTTCAAACCTATACAGTCTATGGTTAAACACACACACACACACACACACACACAAATACAAGAAGTTCCCGCTCGCTATACTGCTGCCCTGCGTTTAGAGAAGTGGAGAAGTGGAAGAAAAAACATGCTTGACCTCGGTTTCCCTTACTCTCATAAGCATTTTTTAACGACAATCAAAACACAACACTATTACAAAAGACCCAAAACAACTATAACCAGACAAAACGTCCACATAGAAAGGAAACCACTATTAAGAGACACATAGTGAGTAAAACAAGAAAAAAAACATAACAAAGAGACAATTTGAATTATACTAATCGTAGGCTACATTTAAAACAATCCCAGATATGCAAAATTACAACAAATGGACATAAAACAACTTCAAATGGATTCAAACCAATCACAAAGAAACAGAAAACAACTCCAAATAGATACAAAACAATAACAACGGGACACACAATAACCTAAAGTAGAGTCTTTGAGTTTGGTTGTCTGTTTCCATGAAGACATGGTGGGTGGGGGTCTGTTACATGTCTGTGCCCAGGGGCAGGGGGTCTCATAATGTGTCAATGGATATCAGTAATGTGATAATGTTTGTGTAATTTACCATATGATACATCTTTGCAAGCTATATGTGCTACATTATAGCTGTGTAGCTTGCACAGCTGTTGGCTTCAAAATGTTAGTTGGTGAAATTTGAACAGGCTGTCTCCGTGGTAACAAGTGGTGCATTTGGCACTGCAGGAGGCCCAAACTCAGTTACATAATGAGTCTGGATTACTGTAAATTAAACAGTGATACTTTATTAGCCTGCTTTATTTATATGCGACTTACGATCTTCAGTGAGCTGTTCACAACAGATGGGTAAGTGAGCTGTCAGTGATATAAGGAGTTAGATCAGCAGGACAGAACACTTTTACATAATCCTGCAACACAAATTAATGTTTAAACGCCTTGTCTTTAATTATACAATATTTAAAGTAACACAGTAACAAAGCTTGAGGGGCCTGGTTATAATACACTAGAGACACTGTTCAATACAGAATTAGAACAATTGCTGTCTTTTTGTCCGTCTGTGTCAAATGACAACTTCCTGGAAATACAATAATCAGTGGAAAAACTAGACAGCTGCAAGCAGTAACTTCGAAGTGTTTGTTCATTGAACAGATGACAGTGATTTCAAAACTCCCCCTTAACCACATGCATTTAGTGAGTGATGAGCTTCTTTTACAGCAAAGTAAACAAAACCTTATTTGTCAATGATTACACACTGTATGTAAACATGACGACTTCTAAAGCTTTGATGTGTTACACTCTTACAACCTAGTTAGCTATATTCTTGGCTTATATTTAACCACAATAATGCTATAATGTCAATATCTGTCTGTCCATATGTTGGGACTGAAATATAATTTGGATGGATTATCATGAAAGTTTTGGCAGATATTCATGTTGTCAAAATGATGTTGGCTATCTTTCCGTTAGTGCCACCAGCAGTTTGACATTTGTGGGTTTTTTTAGTAAAATATCTTGTCTGCAGTTGAATTAAATGCTCACCAAAGGTGCCCCAATAATTAATTGTATGTACTGTAGTTAGAAAGCAGGGCAATATTTAAATCTATATGATACTTTAGTTTTTGACCAAATATCCCAGCTAGCGGGGAACGTTCTCACAACTTTGGCTAACGTTAGCTATTGGTTCTAATAAGGTTTTAAGAAACGTTTTAATCTGATGTTCAAAGAACCTTTTTAGGATGTTTAATTTTTCAAATAATGTTCCTATAAGGTTTAAGGTTAACTAAGACATAACGTTTTAAATTCAGAGGATGTTTTGAGGATGTTATTAAGGCCTGAGATGACAGAAAGTGTTTTTATAAAACGTTCCTTAATGTGATATGTTAACAAAGGTGGAACGTTTTGCCTGCAACATTCTAAGGATGTGTTTTGGACGTTGTTGGGTAACACATTAAAGATGTTCTTTATAAAACGTTCCCTCAATGTTACATGATAACAAATGAAGAACATTTTCAAAGCAACATTCTGAAAATGTTTTCAGGATGTTATTGAGGCCTGAGATGACAGAAAGTGTTTTATAAAATGTTCCTTGAATGTGATATGTTAACAAAGGTGGAACGTTTTGCCTGCAACATTCTAAGGATGTGTTTTGGACGTTGTTGGGGTAACACATTAACGATGTTCTTTATAAAACGTTCCCTCAATGTTACATGATAACAAATGAAGAACATTCTCCAAGAAACATTCTGAAAATGTTTTGAGGATGTTATTCTTTTTTTATAAAACATTCCTGTTATGGCAAATATTAACACGGTCATGGTCAACGTCAGATTTATTTCTAGAGCGCTTTAAAAAACAAACTTGTTGCATTTGTTTGAAAAGGATGTTTTAAAAAAATCTAATGTCACCATAGTTTCCTTTTGAAAAAAACAAACAAGCACGTAATTCATGATAAGCTGTAAGCAGATATTGCATGTTTGCGGTGGCATGTGTGAGTTCCCAGCTAGAAATGTTTGTTACCATTCGTTGTTCTCGGAATGTTTTCAGCGGGACGTTTTATTTTGGTTCCCAGAATGTTTTTCTGAAAGGTAGGATAACGTTCTCTAAAAACATTCTTAACATTTTTGGTGATAACTTTCTTAAGATGTATGAGTGCATTGAGACAATGAATAGGACGTATAAAAACAAATGTATGCATGCCAATATTCACTCACATGCACTTATAATCACACTAAGGTATGTAGGCCCACAGTATTCATAATTTCATATGTGTAAAATATCCGAAAAAATCACACTTTTTTCTGACTATAAAGGTTGTGTCTCGTATGTAGGTTTTAACTGTTAGATAAGCTATCTGGCCGTGTGGTTTGTGAGGGCTGCGTATAAACAGTGTCCGCTGTTTATGCATATTGGATAAAAATCGTTATTGCACCCTTTAGATTTGAGACCAACAGACATATAGAAGAACGGACCGACTGTCACTGCCCGTCCCTGAAACCCCTGTTAGTGTTTGTATGTGTTTGTTTCTACTGTGTGTCTCTCTGCCTGCTGGTCTGCTCGACACGGCTGGGAGCAATCTCCAATCAACCACACCTGCAACCTGCTCATCAGCCACACTATGAAAGCCTGCAGCCTGCACTCATTCCCTGCCGGATTGTTGCCGTGAACGGTTTGTTGCGTGCCGCTCTAGCTTTTTGCCAGCATATTCTTTGACAACTTTGCCTGCTTTTGCCTCACACTCATTTTTATGTCTCTCCCAGGAGGAATCCAAGGCCTTCCACACTCCCAAGACCAGCCAGGCCTCTCCACCCTGGAACAACTGTTTCCCACTGCTGCCATAACCAACCTCCACTCCCAGCTCCCCTTTTCTAATAAACAAATGTTACTTTCACCAGCTGATTCCGATTCATCCTTTTACATGTGTTAATAGTCAAATTCAAATAGTTAAGTAAACTATCAAAATCATCCTAATGACCACAGTGGTCAGTCCACTTACCCAGGAATTTTGAGTTGAACAATTACAGGAATATTATGTCTTTATGTTCTAATAATGTAAAAATATTTTTGTAAATTGTTACCACAGAACATTTGCATAATGTTTTAAACAAAGTATGTTATCCTTCTCTAAAATAATAACATTCTGGCAACATAAACAAATCTAACTTGCAGCTGAAAACATTTTAAGAACAGTAGGGCATAATGTTCTAACAATGTTATCAAAAACATTTTAGGAATGTTATCCTACCTTTCAGAAGAACATTCTGGGAACCAAAATAAAAGCTTCTGCTGAAAACGTTTTAAGAATAGTAGGGCATAATGTTCTAACAATGTTATCAAAAACATTTTAAGAATGTTTTTAGAGAACGTTATCCTACCTTTCAGAAGAACATTCTGGGAACCAAACAAAAACTTCCCGCTGAAAACGTTTTAAGAATAGGAGGGCATAATGTTCTAACAATGTTATCACCAAACATTTTAAGAATGTTTTTAGAGAACGTTATCCTACCTTTCAGAAGAACGTTCTGGGAACCAAAAGAAAACTTCCCGCTGAAAACATTCCTAGAACAATGAATGTAACATTCTCAGAATGTTTTTAAAACCAAACATTTCTAGCTGGGATATCGCAAAATGTTTGTTTCTGGGATGAATACAATATCTTAGGTTTAAGATTTTAGATGGTTCATTATCTCAATATTAACACGGGTTAATTGTGCTTTTCAGCTTGTGAAAAGTAAAAAAATAAATGTGACTGAAATATTGTAAGCTTTATTTACCAAATAAATAATTCCATGATATTTCAGTGCAAATGGACATGCATATATATTCACCAGAAAATTGTTATTTTCAATATCCTTACCACTTGTATAACTCTTTTCATCCCTGTCTCTGTATCTACCACTGCTATTTTATACCTTTGTCACTCATTCATAATGGAGGTGCCCCAAATTCCACAGTGAGACTGTGTGTGCAAATTAAGTACTTTGTCTGGTTGATTCCACTTTGATGACATTTCCTAAAATAAAAAAATTATAAATGTCTACATTTGAGGAAGTTGGTTGACTGTAGTTTGTTCTGAGGAAGCTATATTTTAATGCAAGGGGAAACACATGCTTTGGTATATTTTTGTCTTTATTTCTGTATTTTCTCTTGCTTAGTCACACACACAAAGAGTCACATTACTTTCTGCATTGAATACACACCCCACCATGCGTTAATTATTTGTCTGTGTCCATACTCACACATTTCAAGGCAGCGGCGCCTCGGATGCCCCGAGGAAGGGAAACAACTACTGTTCCATTCACTGATTTGAGTGACGACTACATATCTGGGACGAAGGAGAAAGAGAGAGCTGCGAAGGGAAAGAATGGAGCGAGAGAGCATGGAAACCCTCTCTGCCATGCGGGAGAAACCACTCACT